TGGCAGTCGTAATCACGTCGGTGTGGGAGTTGAACCGGTTAAGAGGCGGCGGATGTCCGGCCCCACTGCATGTACTGTACGGCCTCGCTGCCTCCCCCTGCCTGGGGTCCCCGGGGAGAAGGGTCCGAGGAGAGGGATCCTTGAGAGAGGGATCCTTGGAAGAGGGGTCCTAGGGAGCCGAGCCCAGACGAGAGGGGTCCAGGGTACCTGGAAGCAGCGTCCGTTGACTCTGGAAATCGTAAAGTGTCCGGGTCTCAAGATGTTGGCTCTTGTTCGGTCGCGATCTGGCTCCCTGGTTCCTGGTCTCGCTCCCAGTCGACGTCTCGAGTCCTCTGACCCCTGCTCCAGGTCACGACCCGGCCTGGATTCCGACTCTTTGTCCCTCAGCCCTAGTCTCGCTGCGGGTCCTGGTCCTGATTGCCTGGCCTTGGTCTCACTCTGATGCTGGGTTCCCCGGTCTGGCGGGCGTCTCGTTCTGGCTCTCGACTCCCTGGTTCCGTTTGAGATCCGGTCCTGGTTCCTTTTGTCCCTTGAGTCCCCGATGTCCCGGTGCCTCGTCCCGGTCTAAGTCCTGGAATCTGTCTCTCCCCAGGTCCCGGTCTAAGTCCTGGGTTCTGTCTCTCCCCAGGTCCCGGTCTAAGTCCTGGGATCTGTCTCTCCCCAGGTCCTGGTCTAAGTCCTGGGTTCTGTCTCTCCCCAGGTCCCTGTCTAAGTCCTGGGTTCTCTCTGTCCACAGGTCCCGGTCTAAGTCCTGGGTTCTGTCTGTCCCCAGGTCCTGGTCTAAGTCCTGGGTTCTGTCTCTCCCCAGGTCCCGGTCTAAGTCCTGGGTTCTGTCCCCAGGTCCCGGTCAAAGTCCTGGGTTCTGTCTCTCCCCAGGTCCCGGTCTGAGCCCTGGGTTCTGTCTCTCCCCAGGTCCCAGTCTGAGCCCTGGGTTCTGTCTCTCCCCAGGTCCCGGTCTAAGTCCTGGGTTCTGTCTCTCCCCAGGTCCCGGTCTAAGTCCTGGGTTCTGTCTCTCCCCAGGTCCCGGTCTGAGTCCTGGGTTCTGTCTCTCCCTAGGTCCCGGTCTAAGTCCTGGGTTCTGTCTCTCCCCAGGTCCCGGTCTAAGTCCTGGGTTCTGTCTCTCCCCAGGTCCCGGTCTAAGTCCTGGGTTCTGTCTCTCCCCAGGGCCCGGTCTAAGCCCTGGGTTCTGTCTCTCCCCAGTGTCCCCAGGTCCCGGTCTAAGTCCTGGGATCTGTCTCTCCCTAGGTCCTTGTCTAAGTCCTGGGTTCTGTCTCTCCCCAGGTCCCGGTCTAAGCCCTGGAATCTGTCTCTCCCCAGGTCCCGGTCTAAGTCCTGGGTTCTGTCTGTCCCCAGGTCCCGGTCTAAGTCCTGGGTTCTGTCTCTCCCTAGGTCCTGGTCTAAGTCCTGGGTTCTGTCTGTCCCCAGGTCCCGGTCTAAGTCCTGGGTTCTGTCTCTCCCTAGGTCCTGGTCTAAGTCCTGGGTTCTGTCTCTCCCTAGGTCCTGGTCTAAGTCCTGGGTTCTGTCTGTCCCCAGGTCCCGGTCTAAGTCCTGGGTTCTGTCTCTCCCTAGGTCCTGGTCTAAGTCCTGGGTTCTGTCTCTCCCCAGGTCCCGGTCTAAGTCCTGGGTTCTGTCTCTCCCTAGGTCCTGGTCTAAGTCCTGGGTTCTGTCTGTCCCCAGGTCCCGGTCTAAGTCCTGGGTTCTGTCTCTCCCTAGGTCCTGGTCTAAGTCCTGGGTTCTGTCTCTCCCCAGGTCCCGGTCTAAGTCCTGGGTTCTGTCTCTCCCTAGGTCCCGGTCTAAGTCCTGGGTTCTGTCTCTCCCTAGGTCCTGGTCTAAGTCCTGGGATCTGTCTCGCCCCAGGTCTCCGTGGGGCTCTCCGCTTGGCGCCGTTCCGTTTGAATCTGCCGCCGCCCGCGCTGCGTCCCAACCACTCTCACCGCCGCGGCGGAGATTTAATTTCCTTTTACGTTTTAAACAAACGCAACAAAAACCGCATGATTAAGATCAGCACGCGTTAACGCTCACAATAAATTGATTTTAAAAAATTGCGTTTCATTTAAAATCAAAATAAAAACCAATGACGCCGCCCCGCATCCACCGCCCCCCCTGCTTCGCGCTGCCGAATCGCCCCGCCCCTCGAACTCTGACCCCGCGTGACGTCACGGGGGGCGGACGCTTGAGGCTGAAACCCCCTTCCCCGGTGTGGTCAACTACCGCCCGGGTCACCCCGCTACTCACCCTGATACTCACCCCGCTACTCACCCCGATACTCACCCCGCTACTCACCCCGCTACTCACCCCGCTGCTCAACCCGATACTCACCCCGCCGCTCACCCTGATACTCACCCTGATACTCACCCCGATACTCACCCCGCTACTCACCCCGATACTCACCCCGCTGCTCACCCCGATACTCACCCCGCTGCTCACCCCGCTACTCACCCCGCTACTCACACCGCTGCTCACCCTGATACTCACCCCGCTGCTCACCCTGATACCCTGATAACCCCGCTGCTCACCCTGATACCCTGATACCCCGCTGCTCACCCCGCTACTCACCCCGCTGGTCACCCCGATACCCACCCTGATACTCACCCTGATACCCCGCTGCTCACCCCGCTACTCACCCTGATACTCACCCTGATACCCACCCCGTACTCACTACGATGCTGGCGTCGCTGGCCGCGTGTGTCCGGGGTGGCGTTCGCTCTCGCGGGCTGCTCCTGCTGCGCTCCCGCGTGTCCCTCGCGGACTGTTCCGGCCTTGGGACGGAGACGCGGGGAGTCCGCGCCTCCACGGATGGGACCCCGAGTCCCAACGCGTCCAGGTACGGGCACTGGAGGCACCAACCCCCGTGCGCCTCCAGACGCGGGACCCTGAAACCCGCGTGTAGCATTCGGGGCCGTGGCTCTCCATCCCCTTGCATTCAGGGTCGGGCCCCGTGACCTCTGCCCGGCCACCGCTACAAGTCGATGGGCAAGTCACTTGTAGTGGGTTGAAGACTTCTGACGGGTTTGGAAGAGTAAACCAAATACCCGCCAGAGCTCCCTCTCATAGAGGCCCTTCTACCAGCAGTGGTGTGAACACGAAATTACATTTGTCTGTGACCTCTGTGCCCGCAGAGCCCCCAGTATTTAGACAACCATGCCTCCTGAGCTGGGACTCCGAGTCCCTACTCTACCACAGCCGTGCACTCGAACCCCTGTGCCTCCAGACCCATGCACTGTCACCCATGTCCCCATGATTTTGACCTCTGCTCCTGACTTCCCCAGGGCTGGCTACTGTGACACCCACGCCTCGAGAGGAGGGAGCCCGAAGTCTCCTGCGTCTAAGGCGAGAACCCCAGCCCCTCGCTCCTCCAGCGCGGAGTCGCTGCTCGGGGCCCCGGGCAGCTTCGCCATCCTACGCTCGACGTCCACCGACGTCTTCACCAACCTGGCCCTGGAGGACTGGCTCTACGAGCACGGCGGCTTCGGGGCGGGCGGCGGTGCGCTGCTAGTGTGGTGGAACGAGCGCGCCGTGGTGCTGGGCCGCCACCAGAACCCGTGGCGGGAGAGCGACGTGCCGTGGCTGCGGCAGCAGGGAATTGCTGTGGCGCGTCGGCGGAGCGGCGGCGGCACAGTCTACCACGACCTTGGCAACGTGAACTTCTCCTTCTTCAGCTCGAGGGCCGGCTACGACCGCAAGCACAACCTCGGCCTCATCACGGACGCCGTGGCCACGCTGCGGCCGCGCCTCGACGTGCGCGCTACGGAGCGCTTCGACTTGGTGATGGAGGCCAACTTGAAGGTGTCGGGCACGGCGGCCAAGCTGGGCCGCGACACGGCCTACCACCACTGCACGCTGCTCGTGGAAGCCGATTGGGCGCTCATGTCGCGCGCCCTGCGCAGCGGCCACGCCGCGGGGCTGCGCACCAACGCCACTCCCAGCGTGCCGGCCCCCGTGGCCAATCTGCGGGAGCGTGACCGGACCCTAACCTGTAACCTTCTGGCCGGCGCGGTGGCAGCGCAGTTTGCGAGGTCGCACGGCCGCCCGGGCCACGGGCAGGCTGCCACTGTGGACCCAACAGATGTCAAGGCCTACCCAGGAATCGAACACATGAGAGAGGAGCTCAGCAGCTGGGAGTGGGTGTACGGACGCACACCGCCCTTCAGTTACGAGCACAGCTTCGCCTCTGACCCCTGCCGAGGCGGTCAGCACGGGGAGTTCACAGTCAGGTTGGAGGTGAAGAATGGGCGCATCGAGCGATGTGAGGTGAAGGTGCCAGACCCGTGGCTACCAATGGACGTGGCCTCCACGCTGGCCCAGGTGCTGGTGGGCACGCGATTCTGGCCCGAAAATGTGGAACTGGCACTTCGGGAGGTGCGAACCCAGGGTCAAGGCCCATGGGGACGGATCTGCGACTGCATCATGTCCATAGTTTGATGCTCATGCCATGTACATGAGTACATGAACTGCAGCCTCATTGTCAGTGCACTGCTGGTTGAGAGCCGACACATGCCACGCACTTCTTTACTCTGCCCACAACCTAGCCCTGCAGTCTCGAACACCTGCTGTGGGTGGTGATCACTCCAGGCTTAACGTTGCTTTAGCTGTCCAAGGTCTCATGAGATCAGGCAAGAGGGTGGTTACATAGTTTTACATTGTAATCCGAAAGAGCTCGAATTTTGTATATTTACACCTTTGCTCCATGTCCTGAGCTGACACTTTAATAAGTCACGCTCTTGGGACGTCGTATAAAAGCCATGCCTTATGATACGTCATGCCACTATCATGAGTGTTACTGTGGTGTTCTTGAAGGTCCCTTTAAAAGTATTTTTTTGCTCAATCATGAACCTTCACTTTGATGTCATGCAGCTTGGAGCACCCGAGCTGTGTGTTTACAAGGGATGTTTGATTTTTTTTAGCTGTGTCCTCATACAAGTTATCTTCAGTTTTTGTAAATTGTTTGTTAATGACTGTGCATCAATATGATGTTGAGGATAAGGAACTGAACTACAGGGCAGTGTTGTAATCTTTATTTTAATATTAACATTTGTAATGTGCCTTAAAATCTCCCATGGAACCCAGAAAAGAAACTGGAACAATATAAATTTAAACTTTCAAGTGCCATATCAAAATCCCAAGCTTATAAAATATTACTATACATAGTATACACATAACAGGCGTATTTAACAAAACATGTTGCACAATATGTCATCAGCCACTGTAAATCGTCGTCACACTCAAGCGTGTCTCCTTGTCAGACTCCGGTCCTTTGTGCAATCTCGGCGTATGTTCCGCCTTTATGAACAGTTTTGAATGTTTCTGTACACCGTATTTGTTTTCATTAAGACATTGTCTTTGTGAAAACTTGGATGCGTGGTCTCAGCCCTCCTTGGTGTGCTTCCTGTGAAAGATGTCCACCGTGGTCTCGTGGCAAGGCCGCAAGTCGTAGTCTGCGTAGCCGATGCTGAAACGGCCCTAGAAGCAACCACAAGTGCAGGCATCAGAAACTGCACCTTCAAGTCTGAGGAGGGTGGAGTTACTCAACTTGGCTGCATAACACAATACAATTGATCAGATCATTCTGACTTCCTGGATTTATATTCTCACTTCCTAGATCTTGTCCCGATGGTGTTCGACATAGCTTCAAACGAAATATGGATTGCAATTGCTCAATTTGGTGGTAAAAATATTTCCCCGACTTACCCGTGAGCTGAAACGATAATAATTGGCTCGTTAAACACTTATACAGGTGGAAATTTATTTTTGGCTTTGTCGGGTGGTGGAAAGTCTTCACAACACACATTTGGTCAGATCATTACATGGCTTAACACAAAAATATCAAATTTTGATTTAAAGCTTTCGTGACTGCAGTAATTCATATTCTTAGCTCTTTCGGTAAAGTCACGTTGAAGGGAAACAATAAAATAATAAAATATATGTTTTATATGTATTTTATTGTTTCCCTTCAACGTGACTTTACCGAAAGAGCTAAGAATACAAAAATATCAATACAATTTAATTCGGAGTTGGCTTTAAAATTCTGCTTGATAACATTTGGTCCGGAAAGGCAAAAGGCTGATAAACTATACCATATTTTGTATGTTGAGACAAAGTTCTGCCGATACAGCATATTAATTTACCCATAATGCTCCATAGGAGCAAATGCGTTTTAAGACAATTTGTATTTATGTAGCATTTAAATGCGACCACATCTTCAGATGCTGTACTAAAACCAGTCATTTGTTTAATTTCAATTCATCTGGGTGCAGATAGGGCTTTAGTTCTTACTATGTTGAATTGCTGGTAGACTGGAGTAGGCACGGGATTAGTAGCCACAGCCATTAAGAGGTATACTGGATGTGGTGGTGCAGGGTGTGGAAATATTTCACAGGTTACTGATGTGGACAAACCTGGCTTAAATTAAGCCCTGGGTATAGATGCTAAAATCCTCAAGTGAAAGAGTACATGACTGACAATAATGAAAAAAACGATATAGAAAATAAACACTAAACTTACCGCGGGCTTCTTAAAATAATCCAGACCTCGTCCAATCTTGATTATCCAGCCATTATTAAACCTGAATGACAAGTGGTAATTGCAATGAGCGCATCGAGTAAACAATGTCAATCAAGAGACACTCACGGATATAGAATTAATAGGCTACTTGTGTTGCTGCACTGAAGCATGGAAAACCTGATTTCCCGGTCGTGCAGCGTGTCTGAGTAGGAGATGTTGAGTGCGATGTTGTGGCCTTGAAGACTCTGCCTCAGTTCCAGGAGTGCACCCTCCTGTAGTCCATTGCTCCCAGTCTGAGTGTGTTTTGATTCAAGGTATAACATGAAAATAACTTGTTTTTTTTAATGACAAGACAAAACTATTACAATTCTACAACACCCAGCTGTGAAGTAGTGAGTTAATGGGTGAGTCACCTCGTCTTGTGAAGTAAGGAGGTTGACCTTTTTCACTTTACACGGTCCTTGGATCAGCATCTCGCAAAACCGGAGGAGGTTGTAAAGCTGCAAATGAAACCACAAACATCTTAACTCGTCACAGTCTCCATGGATCGCTTGTTTCTCAATTGACTTTTTATTTTTTTTCACTCTGCTACAAAGCGTCTTGAGATTGATTCAAAAAATGTTTTACATCTCAACACGAATTCCATGAAAAATCCAAAATCATGTTTTGGCTAGGAAAACTCTAGTGACAAGAAACCAGGAAGACAGCAAATGAGGTACATACGCAATTTGAAAAATAGGATACAACAGGGAGTATCTCATGCCAAGTTCTTGAGAAAATGTTCAAGGACAGAGCTGAACAATGACGGCCATCAATGCCGATGTCTTTTAGAAAGGACATGACACGGAGGGAGAAATAGTTACCTTCAAAACTAGATACACCAATCTTGATTTGAAGCTTTCGTGACTGCAGGAATCCATACTCTGTGGTTCTTTCGGTAAATTCACATAGATAGAAAAAAAAAGAACACGACGTTTCGGTCGCAACACAAAGCGTCTGTCATCAGGTAAGAAAGAGATCAGCAGATCATTCTCACCTGATGAAGGATGCTTGTGTTGCGACCGAAACGTCATGTTCTTTTTTTCTATCTACGTGATTTTACCGAACGAACCAGAGAGTATAGATACACCATTTGTATTGTGGGATTATGTTCAAAAGTGACTGCAAGGTTGCCTGATTTTGTAAAATTTTGCTTATCCCTGCCTGTTTGAGGGAATAATTGTATTCAGATTTGCTGTGTCATCAGCTTGTAAGCAGGACTTAGCCAAGGACTTTTTATTTAATGACCTAATTTATCCCATGATTTCCCATGTCCGTAAAGAAAGAAGAGAGCGCCTTATTGTATATAACTCGAAATAATCATGAGGATCATTGTAAAAAATATAAATTACAAAATAGATCACCAGATAACATGTCTAGTTCATATGTCTCCACGTAAAAACTTTCTTAAACAACCCAAACTGCACAGCCTTCTGGGAGTGCATAATTGATTTAAGACAAGCAAACTTTGGACTGGTTTCGACACAATGTCTCAGCAGAGGTAGGCTTACTTGAATCAATGCTGGTGAACTGCCAGATGTTACAGGCAAGGACCATCTCTTAACGATATTGTATGATATTCTTGGTTCTTTCGGTAAAGTCACGTAGAAGGGAAACAATAAAATAATAAAAATATAAAAAATAAAATTCTCACGTTTCGACTGCAAAACAAGCAATCGTCATCAGGTGTGAAAACCACAGCAAGAAAATTTGAAAAAAGTGGCGTTTTTTTAACTTTAGCACCACAGAGAGCGATTTGACAGTTTGTTCAGATGGACGAGTCCATCTATGTTCGGAAAAGAGGAGGGGGGGAGACGAAAATGATGGATATTGTATGAGTTGCTGTCAATTGGGTCCTAGAGTTGGTGAGTTGCTGCCCTAACGGTGCTGCCACACGGCTACACGGCAGATCAAAATACCATGCCGTCTCGGTTACACAATCAAGGTGTGCGAGGTGTCAGACCTGATGGATGTGACGGATGTAAGGATCCTCCACCCACACCTCGCTCACAGTCTCGTCCAGGTACGGTCCAAACAGCTTCACGTAGCTGAATCCCGTAGCGTTATCAGCGATTCGCAACTGCTCGTGATACTTGCCACCTTGCAAGTGCGCACACACGTGATGCACATCGGGTAAAGGGGTTTTCACAGCATTGAGGATTAACCATGCTGGCGAAAGAAATATATTTGCGCGTGCGAGTTTAATTATGAGCTGCTCCTCACTTGTGAGTGACTCAGTCTCTCACGCGACCGCAAACATGTCGGCAAGTAAAACAATTACTTTAAGAAGCAATCAAAACAGACGGCACACTCTACATCTCCACCCACATTCTAAGTAGGTAAACAAATACATATTGTAGCCTATTTACACGTTTTGTATTATCTATGTTTAATTTTATCGAGGCCATTCTGCCCCCCACCCCGTCCCGAATTACACCAGATAATGAAGAGTTGATTATCCTGAAAATGTTTACTAATTCCCTTTTATGCCATACTCTTCCGGCAAGGCTACATTCTCACGTGCAGATAAGGAATTCAGGCCTCCTACTACCCACTTTCTTTCTGGATGTTCACTTGCTGCTTGATTTTCTCAGCCCTCTCCATGTAGACTTCAATCTTTTGGCGATAGTGGCTCTTCTTTGCATCTTCCTTTATGGCTGTAAAAAAAAACAAATACAGCACGTTTATATTCTTGGTTCTTTCGGTAAAGTCACGTTGAAGGGAAACAATAAAATAATAATATATATAAAACAATAAAATTCTCACGACGTTTCGACTGCAACACAAGCAATCATCATCAGGTGTGAAAACCAAAGCAAGAATATTTGAAATGCGGTTTGCATTTATTTATTTATAAACGTTAGCACCACGGATAGCGATTTGACAGTTTGTTATATATATTTGATTATTTTATTGTTTCCATTCAACGTGACTTTACCGAAAGAACCAAGAATATGAATCACTGCAGTCACGAAAGCTTTAAATCAAAATAGCACGTTTAGTTATTTACAAGGTAATATTGCGTAAAAGCTTTGATTATATTACAACACAGCCATACGGCTGTGTTGTAATATTGTAATCCAGAATATCTGGAGAGACTAAGACCTCAAAGTTGGTAGCCATACGTTGCATAGATGTAATACAATTGCTTGCTTTTTCTTCCGCCGATTCAATTAGAATCCTGCACGGTATCCATGCCCCCCACTCCTGCGAGGTTTTAGGGAGGCCAACCACACCAGGTATTGTTCCATTACCTGTGCAACCGCTGTTCCACAGTGCGTCTGCAAACCCTGACGTGTGCACACCTTTGGAGAAAGGCGACGTTTCGGGCAATAGCCCTTCTTCATAGCATGCGTTATTATATACATATTTTTTCCTTTTAATGCCACAGTGTTATTGACGAGTGTGTCGGAGGTTGTTTTTGTTGTGTGCACCACTGCCAACGCAGCAGCAGCATCACCAAATAATTTGCGCACAGAACAACGTTCGCGATGGCAGCTGATGTCCGTGGCTCCACCGCTCGGCGTGCCGCGGTGGGGGGGGATTAGTGGTGGTGCCGTCTGTGCCCCGTACCCTTGAGGATGTCGATGAGAAGCTGGATGCCCTCTTGGTAGCACACGAGCGCCTCCGGCAGGCGGGACTCACGGTCCAGGTCCACGGCGCGACTCAGCACCGACACGGCCGCCGCCTCCATCCCGGCCAGACGGAGGTCGGCCATGCTGGCTCCCTGCTCTTTGACCGGTCCCTCTGCGCACCCAGAATACCTCCACTACACCGTCTTACTACCCGGCTCCTCCTCACCTCAACTCACCCTCCGCCTCACTCGTCTCCAAGTCCCTCCTCACACGACTTTCTCTCCCTTCTCTCCCGCCTCCTCTTCACCGGATCACCTCTTCACCCTCGTCACCTGTTCCCTCCTAACCTTGATTCCCTTCTCACCAAACTCCCTCCTCGCCTAAGACCCTCTTCTCCATTAACCTGAGACACTCGCATCCTCACCTGACACCATCTCTTCATGCACCTCAGACCATCTCCTCACTCCAGCCCCCCTCTCCTCTCACCTCTCCACTCACCTCAACCCCCCTCTCCTTTCACCTCTCCTTTCACCTCTCCACTCACCTCTCCACTCACCTCGGCCCCCCTTTCACTCACCTCAACTCCCCTCTCCTCTTCATTCACCTCTCCACTCAGCTCGGTCCTCTTTCCACTTTCACTCACCTCAACCCCCCTCTCCTCTCACCTCGGCCCCCCTCTCCTCGGCCCCCCTCTCCTCTCAGCTCTCCACTCACCTCAACCCCCCTCTCCTCTCTGCTCTCCACTCACCTCAACCCCGCTCTCTTCTCACCTCTCCACTCACCTCAACCCTCTCCTCCTCACCCGCCACTGTGAACCCGCGCGTCTCAGCGCCGCTTCCGCGTTCCTCCTCGTCACGTGCTCCCCCCACGTGACTTCTGTTAGCCAAGATGGCGGCGCCCGTGTTGTAGTCACGCGACGTCCTCTTAGAGGGTGAAAAAAATCAAACCCGTAAACAAATCGCAAGCGATTAAAGCGTAAACAAATCAACAAGGTAAAGAAAACCGCACGCACCATGATCGGCGCGTGCGCCAGGACGCAATGGGCGACCGTTCAGCACAGTTTGGCGGCAGCTGCGACGGTGAGTGTCAACCATTGTCACCGGGCCGCGTCTCGGTGAGGGGGGGGGGAGTTCTGTCTTGCGCTGCGCTTTTGTCAATCCACTCCGCGTCGCTCATGGGCGTTGTTTTGCGCATACTTCACCATGCTGGTCAGTGTTGGTGAACGGGCGGCTTTCCTGGCTGTTTGAGATGGTCGCTGTAAAAATATATATATGGAGATTCGACGATTTGCTGTAACGGTACGGTTACTGTCTTCACCTGGCGAGCCAGGGTTATGGTACCTCGATGCCCACGGGAAGAGAGTTTCAAAAGATTTGCGTGATCCACCAAGCCTCGTCTCCACACTGCTGGATTACAGGCGTACGCCGCCACCACCACCACATTACATCAATGCCGTGTTACAGGCAAATAACCTCTCTTAAAGATATGGGTTCTCGCCGGACCTAGAATTGTAATATACATTATCTGCATAGGTTGACCAGAGAATGTAGCAGTACAGTGTACGAGCAGGGTAGAGTACTGCGCTATGAAACTGTTCATAAATCCTGAATTGAAGGGACTTTATATCAGAAGTTTATGTCAGGGTTCGTATTGGGGAATGCGGTGGCAGGGGGTGCTTCGCTTGAGGTCGGAAGGTCGACAATTCAAACAGCCCGGTCGATGTCACCTTTCCGTTCAACCAGGGGTCGACAACCTGTGACTCCGGAACCGCATGCGGCTCTTTGAGGACTGTTTTCGTGCCGTTGTTTATTCAGCGCCCCGTCTCGTATTCACCACGTGCAATGCGGCTCTTGTTCTTATTTTGATTGCCGACCCCCTGCGTTAAACGACCACCACTATTAGATTACAACAGTGGTCATACTCTTTGAGTCATCAGGTGAGACAATTACGGTAATTGTCTTACCTGATGACGATCGCTTGTGTTACGATCGAAATGTCGTGATCTGTTATTTTCTACCTACGTGACTTTACCGAAAGAACCAAAGAGTATGGATTCCTGCAGTCACGAAAGCTTCAAATCAAGATTACAAGTGGTCGTCTATGAATTTACTGGCTCATGCCATGGTAACGTGGAATTTACAGCACCGGCACGGAGTCGTCAATGGAGAAGACCATCACTCTACAATTGATTGGGCCCGGATACACTGATCTGAATTACCTTTTTATATCAGGATTTAAATGCATGGTTTTATTTCAGGACCCGTATATGTACCAACGCTACAGAGTCCATAGAGGTTTAGGTTTTAATTGAACTCATGGGGCTGCCTGCGGTGACCGTCTGTAGTGCAAGATGTCCTAGCTGCCAATGTCACAGATTCCATATTGTTTGAAAAGTGTATCAATGTCTCGGTCAGTCCCGAGTACCATCTGGTATTAGATCTGACCCCTAGGTGGCACTGCAATGCCTGCCTTGGGAGCTTGTACGAGCGACGCGCAATTCCATCATTCCCACCAGTAATTGTGAATGTGGACTGTACTACTATGAAAATTCGTACTAACTACAAGGCCTTCCATCCTATAGACTAAGTAAATTTTCTCATTATCGTCGCTCACTTCCACGTGAGCTCCTGCCCTCCCACATTTGCCACACTCACCAGAATCACCATTTGTGACAAAAAACATTCTGAAAGTTACATTGTGAACATGCATATACCTGAAGAACAGAAAACTGAACTTGTATTGTTATCCCAAAACACTTCATTAACGTGATACTTTTGCTTGGCAGATGACACAGAGAATGCTTTTGGGTCGAAATTGGGCACTCTGCCAGTTTGCGAGGACCAGCATTGTGGCGATTTACAAAAAGAATGCTCAGGAAGGCTCCAAAAGGAAGGTAATGATGCATTTTTTTTCGTTTCAGATTCAGTGTGATCCGCTTACTGGTGTTTTTATTTTAACTGCTGTTTTGCAAAACCAGGAAGGGCCACAACATTGAGTATGTGCCCGAGTTGCTTTTGTGTGAACATTGCAGGTTGTGCTGTATCATCTTGTAATATATTATCCACTTTAAAGTAGAGCACGAAATCACGTACGTTACCCATACCATTGCTACAAATACAACGTCGAAGATCATCACATAGTGTCATTGGCAGCACACTTAAGCAGTTTCCCCTCCCTCTTCCAGACACCTGGGCTCCAAGGTCCACTCTTGAAATATCTCACCGTCCGGTTTGTGGTCTGGGTGCCATGCCAATCGCGGTCTAAATCAATTGCCCGTCTTCATTTTGAACAATTGCCCCACCCACAAGTTACTTTTCCTGATAAGATCTACAACAGTCGCTTTCTATTCTCAACGTTTAATTGTGTAACCTTGCCTGCCAATATATTCCTAACATCCTCCACATGAACGTGTATTAATTCGCCAGAAGCTATTCGTTTCCTTCTTCGGTTCCATCTGTTTGTTCCATACAATGATGTACGTTGCTCCAGCCTCAGACCCATTTTAACAATATGTTTACCCCAGTTATTATAAAGTGGGTTATGGAGGCACTAGTTGATGACATTCGTTTGAGAATTTTAAAAAAAGTTTTGACTGCCACATAGCAAAACATGTCTGTAGCACGGCACATGGGAAAGTATAGCGTCCCCGGTTTGGGTAAGAGAACCCTTCTAGGAATCTTAGGAGCTCTGATGTCTGCGGGCCGTTTTGTAACAAGGTGATGCACCATTCTGCACGTGTTCAGAATCGACATTGCCTTCTCTGACATGACACTGATAACAATAGTAAAAACTGCAAAATACTAAATGAACCCCTAAACAACTCTGGACTTCATTTCTCACGATGCCCTGGGGGTGAGCAGAGCAAGGAGGAATACGCTAAGGAGCATAACATATACGGAGGAGACCCTGAGCAGCCACACAAGCTGCACATCGTGAGACGCATCCGCAGCATTTACCGCCGGCCCTACTGGGAGAAATTGGCCATCAAGAACCTGGGCCTGACCAAGGTATTGAGAGTTGGTCGGCAGGGAATGGTGTCATGATTGTTTAGCAGTTAAAATGCATTTAAAACGGTTTTTTTTCCCCACACCATTTTGTCTCAATGTTATGTACATTTGTTGGCTTGAACATGCTCAAAAGTAAAACATTTTAACATCTGGCATGTTGTTACTCATTAGATATACCTTTTAAAAACTATGAACACGTTGCTAAGGAAGACATGCAGACATAGCAGTTTGTTGCACTAAAGCAAAAACAGGAATGCTATGTTTACAACAAACTTCAGAAGACTGTTTTTTCATGTTTATGCAGCGGGACCCTGTGATACACAAGAACATAGAATCTGTTAATGCTCAACTTACTATGGTCAAGCATCTCATAAAGTAAGTTTTATTAGCAGCACGTTCATTACATATTGCCTTTGCAAAAGACTGACAGTTTGTGCTTATTTTCCTAGGTTTAAAGCATGTGTGCATGAGCTGTCAGTCCATCACGTGGGGGGGGGGGGGCACTACAACTCTTGTAAACATTTTCCAAATGTGCACAAAACTGAAGCCTATAGTTTTGCAATTACGGACTTGGTCTTAATCCACGTGGGCAACGTTTGGGAAACTATTGCCTCTGTATTCTTCACCAGCGATGGTCACAGCAACGTTTCCCCATTGTACTTTAATTATAATTCAAGCACCAAGTGGGAACTGGGACTCCCACACCCTCTTCATTTTAAAAAGGTGTACACCATAAGTCCCTGTACAAGGGGGATCTGGGCACGAGTGTGATGAAGTGAGATGGTGTGGAGAGTTGTGATGGGCAACTATGGGTCAGTCATTTCAGACAGATTAATTTAGTCTGCAGAATCAGTCACCCATGGTGAATGTGTCACTGATGGCAGTTTCCAGAAACAATTGCTGTTTACAGTGCCCCAGTGGATCCATTTAACGCCTGACAAATTGATTAGAGTTACCACATTGGAGACAAACCAGTGCAAATATGAATATTTGGTTGGCAAAGGATTTGTGCGATTTTTGCCAACTTGTTTTCCATGGTATATTTTACTGTCGTGACAATGTGGCTTATTCACCCCTCCTGCAGGGTCCAGCCATTGAAATTGCCACAAGGACTGCCAACAGAAGAGGAATTTGCCCACTCTTACATCAACTCCAAAGGGGAACTGATCATACAAAAGAGGCTCTTCCCAGTGGAACAAAAACAGATTGAAGCAAAGTCTGACAGTTGCACAATCAATACAAATGTATAGAACTGGTGAGGGTCTTTATTAGACATCCAGCAGCCTGTGTATGTGCTTTTGTTTACCTTCATTAGTAAACTATCATTTGTTCGTGATGCATTCTTGTTATTTAAAATAAAGGATGCAGCATTGTACGTCTGTACATGAGGAATTTGTTCATCATTTCCGTGAAGTGCAGTTTTTTTAGATATTAAATATCACAAAGCATCAGTAAATATTGATTGGGTTTATTCCATTTGTGTCATCACAATCAAGCAAACATACCATTACACTGTCAGTGCATGCAACGCTACTTAAAATGTTTTTAAAAACCTCATTTAACCATGAGTAGATCATGCCTCGCATGCAAACATTGAATACTGGAATATTGCAAATACAATACAGCACTGAAGATTTGGGAAAGAACTGCAAAGTCATGGCTATTACTAAGTTCTGTGAAAAATCTTAAAGTAGCTTTTGTTAAAACAAGTAGATTCAAGCTGGTAACTAAAGCCATTGATTAATTCCCCGCTCCCAACTGGACCAATGAGCCAAACGTCAATATGACTGCAAGTTTGCATATAAAAGCATCGCTGCCCTCTCTAGGCTATCATCACGAGCCCATTCTCTCATCATTGCCACGGTCTCCATTGTACCCCATCTCCAGAAACCCAAATTGGACCCTTTTCAAGAAACACGTGTGCACACTACAGACATTCATTGCATCATTACTAATAAGTTAAGACAACTATGCAATGAAAAGTTCTGCAATAAGACGTTTTTTTGGGTTACATTGCGTAAATATGAATGTGTCGTTAAACCGGTAACCAGCCGGCAGCCAATTAGTAAAGTTTGTCACGTAAACAAAACATGCCATATCGTTTTATTCGTTCAGCACACTAGTGTGTTGGAGTGTAAACCCGAAACATTTACTCAGGATCACCTCTGGAGGTCCACAGTATAACGAGGTTTCCTGGATGCAATAACTTCACTGCTATTTAAATTCCAATAGAACAATGTAGCCTACTAATGCAACTTATACAGCTAAAGTGACTACCTTGAGGTTAAAATAAAATGTTAGGCAAACTTAGAATCAACGTTTGCATACAGTGAGCATTTTGATAAAGCAGACTAAGAAATGCGGTTTGCACCAATTACAAGTAGAAATTCATATCTGCATATTATCTGTATTAGAATGGAAAATAACGCCAGCGAGCAGACCTCCGCACGGCAGAAAAGCAAAAACGGCTCACTCGGCATGGAGCGAGAGCGACAGCTTTAAACACGCCACCTCTTTCCCGCCCATGGACAGCGTCACCTTGCTGCGGTAATTTCCATTGGTGAGCCAAGACGGAAGCTCCACGTACGGAATGGTGAAATCGGACTCTGGGAAGTTGTACTGTCCCTGCAAAAACATTTAAAATAAATCACAATTGATACAATCACTCGAAGGTTCAAGCCTTTTCCTATATTATAATAAAACTCGGCATCGTTGATCTACCAGCATTTTCCAAGCAGGGTTGAGCCTGTATAGTGTTTGATTGGGCCAGCACTGTGCATTAGAGGCGTTACAGGCTGCGGCAGCAGGGTTACATGGTGGGGAGCAGAGGGCAGCGCGTAAAAATGTGTTGTACTATGCTTTTATGCTCCCACACGGTCACCAAACCGCCCAGCGAGGTGAAATGTGGATAAATAACGATAACCCCCTCCCAAAGTGGGGAAGCCCTGATCGAACAGCAGATTTAGAAAAGGTTATACACTTATATTTGCTCAAATCTGAGCAAATTTAGTTTATAACTATATATAAATTCTGAACTTGGCTTAGAATTTATCTATCCCGGTCCTGTGTGTACTAAAACGGGGGCCAGACGAAATTACTTTCCCCAAACCACTCATGTTCAGAGTGGCTTGGGAGGAAGGAAAGTAAACTTGGCAACTGCATGACTCTGCAGGGCATGGGGGGGGGGGGCCGCAGTTCCCACCACGCCACACGTGGTAGCTAATTTCACACTTTCCAACACTACCACATTGTTTTCTTTGTTATATCAAAAAACATGCTGGAACAAAATTCAAGTGGCTATAAATTTACACAAGCCACTTTGTTGAGCTATCATTTGTGGCTGGGTCACTTCTGAAAATAGCTAGTAATTACGCTGTTTACCAATACTCACAGTATACACATTGTATTTTGAGTCCACACTGTCGCAGGCTTGGCTAACCATGGGTGCTGGACAATAAATAGCTCAATGATGCTTTAAAAGTAACCCCTCTCGTCCATCTCCCTACAATAAAAAAAACTTAATAGTGCCAGCCAAGGGAAGGAAAGGGCCCGAGGACATCCACTGCAGAGATTAAGCGATGCAATCAGCTTGTGCAAAAGGTACTAGGTGGATTGTAGCATTGCAAGACCGTGAGAGAAGGAAACGGACTTGGGGGGGGGGGAGGCCTTCATTTAGTACTGTATTGATCATAGTTGACGATTTGCCAGTAGGCCATCTGTTGCTGCAACTGTGATGTTTCCAACCTTCTTAAAGGGGCAATTGCAGGGCAGGCCATAGCTGAACAGGGGCTCGGGACAGTCTTGTCCAGGTGGCGTGAGCTGGTTCAGCAGCTGACACACGTCCTTGTACACGCAGCTCCCGATCTGATCCAGGCACGGCACCTCGATCCACAGCCCTGCCAGCTCCTTATCCAGTGTCACATTGGCCTTCACGGTGCACACATTTTGCACGAAACAGGAAACACATTTTGCACGATCGTAACACTTCCCTCAAGCCGTAAACTGTTTTAGTGTAATGCGCCATCCAAGTTTTCTTTCGCAAAGTGCGGTTTTCCAGGTTGTGTTCAGTGGAGCATTTTCTCTCTCGAGCCTTTATCAACTGTTGAATTTAAATCCTGTGCATGCCCACAACAGTGTACATCAAGTTTAGAATAAATGCTCACAGCACAACCCAAAAACAGCACTTGGAAGTACAATACAACATAGATGTGTATATATATCACCTAAAAAGAAACTGCATCTCAAGATTATGTGCATCTTGAAGACAACGGAAATATTGTAAAAATATTTAAGTCGCAATTAAAATTGGGCTTCTTGTACAATGTACGGTGACGGTTGCAAAAGGTTTTCAATATCCGCGAATGTAACACGCAAACAAGCGAGGCTCTGATGCATTTTGTGTTATTTACATTATCAGACAGAGCAGAGCGCTCTCATTTTCCCCACTGGCAACTATTTTGTGGTCACATTGACATCTTGGGTTACCATGACAATTGGAAACAGGCCTTTTTATAACCCTGGAGGAAGACCATTTTCTATTTTGGCTCACCACTCAAAAAACTGAGAATCTTGAACCAAAACAAAGTTAATCATTTGCGCAGGAACACGTGGTACACGCAAAGCTCCTCACCTCAATGGGGCCGGCGAGGGTGACCGTGGTAACGCCGTTGAGGGCGACCGTCAGATCTCCTGGGATGACGACGGGGTCAGGCGAAATCTGCAGGCTCTTGAGGATGGCCACGTCGCTCTCCGGTCCACAGTTGTTCCAGACGAAACTCTTCACCTTCAAGTGCTGCAAAAAAGGTCGCTCGCAATTGTGGTTCAACTACGCAACTTTAGCCCGCCCGGTGGTCCACGCGAGCGCTGGAGAATGTCGTTTCCCCATTTTAAGGTTGTGGGAAAAACGTGCCGATGCCTCGATCGGCCATCAATGGGGTAAACAATCGCCAAGGATTTGCGTTTTAACTATTTAAACAACGTCAATCCAGCCCTTATCATTTTTTTATTTTGTTCAAATGCTCGGCCCTCACAAGAGCCGAGTTTATTGTCAACACCTGATGATGCTGCTTGTTATCTCGAACCTCGGGTGGCCGCGTTCGTGGCGCAGTTTGTTAAACGCCGACACGCCACCCACACGTGTCGAGTTAATGTCTTGAAAACATTCCCAGGGACAGGGTAGGCAGTGGTGTCAATGCACAAGTTGTTGTTTTCGTCTTTACTGAAAGTCAGTACATGTTGTGGCATAATACAAGGTTTTAACCACTCTTGACGAGTTTTACTGACGTCGCTGTATTTAAAACAGGGTCCACTTGGTACCCGTAAAAGGAAGTTTCCCATGCATGAACAAATATCGCCCCAACGTTTGCAGGACAGCCTTTTGGCAATCTACTGCTGGATGGCAGGCAGCGTAGATTGGCTAGTATAGCACAGCAATGAAATTTGCTCCACTGGCCACCACACGTGGTTGTTTGTGCAATGGTGGTCACCCCCGTCAAAGTAATATCCAAGCGACCCCCCTCCCCCAAATTATCTTCGGAGAACGAGAAGCGTTGCATTCCGAGGGGAAACAACAAGCCATGGTGTCGTGAAGCGACCCAGTGGTAGTCAATGTGAAACACGCCACACGAGTCAAACTGGGGGAACTTGTCGTTTATACCTTAAGAGCTTATAAAAAAAACACATTTCAGCATAGCAACATGCCATTTTTGAAAGCAAAGAACGGTTTAAAGACAGCAGCTCAAGTGTTTGGAAAGGCCCTCCTCATTCAGCAGCGGTTTAACAAAAGGGCCTTGCATACTCAGCCCACAGACTGTTTGGGGCACGTGCTGTTAGCGAAAACATATGTAGGCCGGCACGGTGGGTGTGCAGCACCACGCCCGGTCCGCCTTTGTCTCTCCGGTGGTGATGTTTACACACCAACCACATCAGGTACTAATTTAAGGCCGAGTCGATCTAACGGAGCCCCAGGACCGGTTCATATATTCGTCAACGATGGTGACCGTGAGCGAGAATCGAACTGGGGTGGCTGGGAATGTAGCGCAGTACGCTAACCACTACACAGCCGCCGTTGGCCACCGAGTGGCAGTGACGTCACGGTGCTTGTGCCAGGCGAGGTGCGCTTTTAGACCACGTGATTGTATATACACGTGCATGCACAGTGGGAAAGGCACAATAAACTTCTGCCCATTTCGAGCGTGAATCAACAAACTTGAATACTTGGTTTTGAGTTTGTTGTTGTTGGGTCTGGTGTGTGTTGTCGGGGCTTTATATTACTCTAGCAAGATTTCAAAGTCGCACATTGAGATTTAATCAGGAGCGCCCTTTGCCAATTAAGAGGCCGTTCCATGCTGCCCTAAAACGGGGATGTCCCCCCTCCCCCCTTCTGATGGTGACATAAGTTTATTACGCGACGAGTGCCAGAGAAAGGAACATATCCAGCATGATTCAACTTGTAAAAAACAACCCAGCGATGTCGATTTACTCGGTTTAGATTCAGACCACAGTCGCAACACGTTCCCCCCCCCCCCCCCCCCCCCCCAGCAAACCCCACTTTTCGACACAGGGTAAAAAAACACACACGCACACCCCACTGTACGGTGGGTGATGTTAGAGTACGGTGGGTGATGTTAAAGAGTGCCTATTAAGTAAAGCCAGCGAGCGCAGTGCAGTGCAGCAGTGCAGCTCTACATAGGAGCAGCTGCTGGTGTCACAATTCGGCCACCGATTTCTGGCTGCATCTCGTTATCGATCGTTGAAAGCAACTCGGGGTGCTGCGTTTTTTATCGGAGTTATCAATTGGCAGGGTGACGACGGATCCCCTGGACTTTAACTTCAGAGACACGCACACACCGGTTTAACCTTCGGGTTTAGCGCCAGCCAGATGAGTATGAACCACCCGCTGTTGCAGTTCTGCGCTCCTTCAACAGAGGAAAAGCAAAACGACACTAATTCATGAAGCACTCTCGTCGTGGCTAGCAGACATCGACACAATGGAATGAGCTCCTGAATATATTGCTGCCATACGCAAGAAGAGAAGAAAAGTTTAATTTAAAAACTGAGTGGACAGTTGCAATCTACTGAAACACACCTTAGTTTCCGGGTTCAATGCTACACGGGGAATTGAACGTTGTTTAGCGCAACAGACCCACCCGGCCATCTGCTGCAGATTTTCACCGCTGCATTCAGACAGATTAACCCAGACCATATCACCTGGTAAGTAGTCATCCCCTATTCAGGTAGGTAGCTACATCCCCCTTCCTCGGCTCTTTGTGCTCACCAATTCCAGGCAGGTATAGCCAATGGTCTAGAGGCCGTCATCTACGTCCACCCTTCACCCGTCCAGCCAGGCAGACCCAACCCATACATAACACAAGGTTTTTGTTTGGGTTAGATCGCGTGAAAATATATTAAACACGCCACCACCCGACACAGCCAATAAGTAGGGGTTGTCACGTAAACAGAACGTGCCAATTCGTCACTAGTAACAGCACACCGGTGACAACCCTTACTAATTGGCCGTGTCGGGTGGTGGCGGGTTTAACACATTTATATATTAACGCGATCTAACTCAAACAAACCCTGCATTATGGATGATATTGTTCGCGAACGCCTACGCGTTAGACGGACCCCAGCCCATTTCACCTCAAGGTCCACGTCGCGTACCGTCGACGACTGTCCAACTAAGTTCAGCCGACAGCCCACGAGACCTTGCGTACACGCGCACGCCGAATTAAACCTTTCCCATGGAATTCCGAGGCCAACAATTTCGCCTCGGAGGTTGGGGTCCTGATCCTTCCAGCCACGGCCGACTTAGGGGGGGGGGGGGGGGGGGGGGGGGGGGTCCGTGTCACCCGAAGGTCCTCCTCACCTTACCGCCCCATCCAGGTCGAGCCAACCCCCTCCCCCGCACCTCGCTCCGCCGCACCGCCGACTGGCGCGGTCGGCAGCCACGTGCGGTGCGAAAGAAGTTCTATGGCCAAGAAGCCCCCAGGGCCTCCTCACCTGGCGCGTGGGGTGCACCCAGGCGCTGAACACGCGGTAGGGGCTGGGCGGCATCCAGTGGGGCCGCCTGGGCCACACGGCGGCGCGGGCCGCCTGGGCGCAGAGCGCCACCACCGCCACCAACACCACCACGACAAGCGCCGCTCCACAGCCACGCATCGTCGCTGTTGTTGGTCGCTCGTGCGCGAGACTTGAGGGTGAAATTAAAAGAAATGAGGCGCTTGATTTGGTGGGAGCGGGTAACACGAATTAAACGCAATATAGGGCCGATTGAATGCGAGCGTGCATGCCAGACGTGCTAACACACACCGCGACTCGAGCCGAACGCTTGAGCGCTCTCCGCTTTATATAGTGCGTGGTCACGTGATCCGCCATGAGTTCGGGGGCGGGGCTTGCTCTGTGCATGATGACGTCATGCAAAATCGGACTGCGGCACGAGGAATCCGATGAGCTTTTAAAAAAGATTTGTTCACGAGGCAATGCAGATTTACAAACACAGACACAATTTCAACCGAGAAGATGGTTTCAAATTAAGCAACAATTGGAAAGATGTTCTAAATCGAACCAAACATTAAACTAATTTTCAATGGTACAGTATATTTTTTCAAGTAGTGGTATCCCAAACTTTCGCAGCTCTTAAAATTCAATTTTCACACCATCGAAGTGTATACCCAGTTGCTGTTAATAGCTCAGCTTATTGAAGAATATATTGAGTACATTTATTATATTGATGTAATTTAGACTTCGTTTTTCACATCGGTTTACTGTATGATAGTTGGGTAGTGCAGCCCCTTTGCCGTCCATGTACTAGGTGCCTCTGTGGATGTGTAAACTTTGACTTTAACATAGCCATTTCTGTGACCAGTCACAAGCTAATCACTCAGCTATTTCAATGCTCAATTCTATGCTAATTCCTTTGTCAAGGGGTGCCTCTGTGGATGTGTAAACTTTGACTTTAACATAGCTATTTCTGTGACCAGTCACAAGCTACTCCCTCAGCTATTTAAATGCTAAATTCTCCTGTTTGATATGTAAACTCCTTTGTCAAGGTGCCTCACTTCTCTCACCCAGCTTAAAAAGACGCCACGAATCTTAGCAGCGTTCATTGAAGCTCTGTCGTCCCGACAGTTCTGTTCCTTCACCTGAAGAAGGCTACTTGTGTTGTGGCCGAAACGTCGTGATTTTTGTTGTTTTATTTTTTTAACCTACGTGACTTTACCGAATAGAACCAAAGAGTATGGATCCTTGCAGTCACGAAAGCTTCAAATCTAGAAGCGGTAAAGCTCTTAAACTCACAGATGTGCAGTAAGGGCAGAACGTTACAACAAACGATGCAAAAAACACGACAGGAGTGCAAAGTGTAGCAAATGTAAACTTATAACTTACAATATATACAAATAAAACTACATTCGTTTAGAATTCGATGTGCCGAACTCGTGTCTTTAAATAAAAACTCAACACGTCAGTCAGTCACACTCTGTGTGGCCTTGAAATAAAACATATTTAATAAGCGACGTTTCGGAAAACGATCCTTCTTCATAGCACACACATATATAGTAGGCGACGTTTCGAGCACTGGCCATATATAGCACATGATGCGCACATTTAAAGTGTGCTATTGTTTTGTTCAGGCGTTATTGGAGAGCGTGTTGAGTCTGTGTTGTGTTCGTTATGCGCCACTGACAGCAGTAGCAGCATCAACAATTCATGGCCTTCTTATTGATAATCGCACCTCTGATTAGCCCGGTTGGTTACGTGCTGCGAAATAAGTTCAACTTACTGGACATCTGGGGGGGGGAAAGAGCTTTATGGCTCATCGGATTCCTGTGGTACGATGTGGGCGGGGCTCGCCTCGATGTTTAACTCCTGCAGTGACGTCATTACGATGTAGGTGAGGCTCGCCTCGTTGTCTACGGTAATTCGCACGGTGACGTCATGCCGATGTGGGCGAGGCTCGCCTCTAACTCGCGCGGTGACGTCATGATGATGTGGGCGGTGCCCACCTCATTGTTTAACTCGCGCAATGACGTCATCCGGATGGGCGGCTCCCGGTTCCCGGGCCCTAGAGGATCCGGTTCCTAGGTGGAGTGGAGCTCGGTGCCAGCTCGGAGGGTTTTTTTGTGTGCCTCTGCTTTAAAGGCTCATCGGGCATAGAAGTGCAGTACAACATTGGATTGGTTTTTCCTGCGCTGCCCAAGTGCCGCCCACTATGTAGCGCCGCGGCAGGCTACAAGAGCCGCGGTTGTGCATGGTGGTCGCCCATTCAATCGCTATCCAGGCTGCTTAGCTTGCTCGAAGTGACATTTCTGCCGATTGTAGCCGTAATCAATTATAATAAGAGTTGATCAGCATAGGCTCAAAGCGTCAAGTTGCCAGCAACACACAGCACGATTATAAACGTCGCGGGTAGAGTTTACAGGATTCTTGAATCGAGCGACGTTGTAGGGGCTTGAGATGATGGGAAAAGGGCCATGGTCCGAAACGTCGCTTGTGCCAGTACAAAATATACTAAAACATACTCTTTCAGCACAACAATTTAGGTTCAAAATAAAGGCAATGCAATTCCTGATTGGGGTCGACTCAACCCATTATCTCTTTAGGGATCAATCAAACTAAAACTAAACACATTTTTTATATTTCACCAGGTAAGGCTCACTGATCGAACCTCGCTCTTTCCAGCAGCAACCGGCCCACAAATGATAGCTCAACGAAGTGGAATTTTGTGACGTTGATTCTAAATGTGGACGGAGAAACCAGACGACCCGGAGTCAAATCCACACGACCACGGAGAAAGAGAGAGAGACGCAAACTCGAAAACAACAAGAGCAGCAGCAGCAGGCGTCTGGGTCGAGATCGAACCCCACGACCTGCTGCGTACCAGGCGAGGGAGTTAACATCTCGCCACCACGGCACCCCGATCAAATGAGTGCCACGTTGTTAGGGGAATAAGTGAACAGTGGTTATACCCTTTGGATAGAAACGCGCATCCCCGTCATGGTAATGTGGAATTTCCACCACTGCCTGTGCAGGAGGACTGTAAACGGGCGAAGATCATCGCAGTTGCTCGTTTGGGCGGGGAAGACATTCGTTGTTGTAACTCCCTTACCCCGTGCCCCTACTGGACGTCTGTGACAAAAGAGCTTCGTAGCTCATCGGAATCCCTCCTCCAGTATCGATAATAAGAATTATTACATTCAGACTACGAACTGAAATCTAAACGTCACTCCGCCCTGGAACTGGACGGAGGCCGCCACTGGGGCTGCCTCTTCATCACCACTACAATCATCATCATCACCATCATCAATCATAACCACCACCACCATCATCAACCATAACCACCACCATCATCATCACCATCAACCACCATCATCAATATCAACCACCATCATCAATATCAACCACCATCATCATCATCAACCACCACCAACATCAACCACCATCAACATCAACCACCATCATCATCACCACCACCATCAACCACCACCATCATCATCACCATCATCATCACCACCACCATCAACATCAACCACCATCATCCTCACAACTACCATCATCACCACCACCATCAACATCAACCACCACCATCAACATCAACCACCATCATCAACATCAACCACCACCATCATCACCACCACCATCAACCACCAACATCAACCACCATCATCAACATCAACCACCATCATCAACCACCATCATCATCATCACCACCACCACCACCATCATCAACATCAACCACCATCATCATCACCACCACCACCACCATCAACATCAACCACCATCATCAACATCAACCACCATCATCAACATCAACCACCATCATCACCACCATCATCAACATCAACCACCATCATCATCATCAACCACCATCATCATCATCAACCACCATCATCATCAATCAACATCAACCACCATCAACATCAGCCACCATCACCATCAACATCAACCACCATCATCATCACCACCACCATCAACATCAACCACCACCATCATCAACCACCATCATCATCACCACCACCATCAACATCAACCACCATCATCATCAACAACATCAACCACCATCATCACCACCACCATCACCACCACCGCTACTGCCGTGGGGCAGCGCTCGTCTCTCCTGGACCCGGTTCCGGGCTCGAGATCGCGGCTCGCCCTCTCCAATGAACGTGGCCGCCACGCTCCGCCGCCTTCACTCTTCGACTTTAACGCGCAACATTGGAGACGTTCACATTGGAGACGTTGTTGGCTGGGTCGTGCGTCTCTCTTCGCTTTCAGCGGCTGCCGGGTCCCGGTCGTCGGTCCCCGCTTTTCTCGCACGCGGTGGAGGTGAAAGGGCCGAGCCCATGCGCCGCTCCAAGTGAAAGGTACGAGAGCGATCCCGTTATGTTATCGATGATAACGAATCGCACCGGACTCGTTCAGCACACCACCCAGCAACGTGCGTGTGCTGAAAGGCAATTCGCAAATTCTCGGACAAAGCAACTGAATGGCAAAAGCACTTACATCTGAATCTCTTTCATAGTTGCTCTTCATAGGCCATATGAAATAAGAATAACAGCAAGTCGTGGGAAGGGTAATGACTGGTCTCAGAGCCATTGTTTAAAGGACTCCGCAACTACTCTCATGGTTATGTTGAGTTGTGGTTCTAAGGGATTACGGTGATTTGTCAAAATCACTTACATCTGAATCTCTTTAATAGTTGCTCTTCATAGGCCATATGAAATAAGAATAACAGCAAGTCGTGGGAAGGGTAATGACTGGTCTCAGAGCCATTGTTTAAAAGACTCCGCAATTACTCTCATGGTTATGTTGAGTTGTTCTAAGGGATTACGGTGATTTGTCATCTCCAGCTTGTTTGTAAAGTTGTTAAATCGGCCGAGTCTTAAACCAGGAGGCGGTGTTTGATAGAGAACAATAGTTAACTAAAAGTTATTTAAACGTCGTGTTTGTGGAATTTGGGATGCTTGCTTGTTTGGGAGAGAACAATGGGGTGAATGTTTAATAATTAAGCAAAAATCAGAGCAGTGGGCAGGTACCGCTGAGAGCCTGAGATAAAAGCTAGGAGCAGCCCTTGATAAAGTTGACTTCTCAAGTGTAGATTGTCTCCTCAATCTTGTTTTTCACTTTAATTTGCCAAATTCCATCTCTGACGAAACGACTTGATGTGATGGACACGATGTTACCGCTGTTTGCACGACTCGTGTGGGCAGAGACCTAATTGAAGCGACCTCAGAAGTAGCTCTGCATTGTCTTTTGGTGGATGTTCTCTTACACAGGTTAATGCACTGTTGTCTGCAATGCCGAATGTAAATGTCTTAATCTCATGATAATATAATGTCTATAACGCTGTTGGGATTTCAGTAGGGGCGGGGGGGGAAGGCTAATAAAATTGTGCAAAATTACATGGGTGCCTGGATGTATTGCAGTGTTAGCGCTTTAACTGAAGGTGGATCAGTTTGTCTTGTTTGTTAAATGGAATTGTTGATATGCAAATGATTGACAAGATGAATGCAGGTGGATTTTGAGCATAAAAAGTTGTGTTTGTGTATTTAGAAAGAGAGTGACGTTGAGATATCCTGAAGGAGCCTATTTGGGGCTCTGAAAGCTCTGTGCCAAGGAGAGAAAGGTAGATATTGCATCCGAGCGCTGTAGTAACAAGAGCTGAACCCAAATTGGGCAGTGGCTGTGCTTAAAGTCTTAGCGAGAGCTTAACGTTACAAAAGTTGCATAAAGTAGCGAATGTTAATCACGCAAAGTTAAAGCGAACTGTTAAACATATCCCCGTGTCTGTTCTACTCATAACTTAATATCCATGACCTCGACGATGAAGCCACTCCACGATGTTGTGCTTTGCTCTAACATTGGTGTCATATAGCATGGTTAAATTTATAATACTATTTGTCCTTATTCTATGGTTCTTTCGGTAAAGTCACGTAGATAGAAAAAAGCATAATAACAATAAAAGAATAAAAATAAAGTGAATACAAATAATACAAATATCACGACGTTTCGATCGCAACACAAGCGGTCGCCATCCTATTATTATATGTTTTATATCTACGTGACTTTACCGAAAGAACCATAGAATATGAATTCCTGCTGTCACGAAAGTTTAAAGTTACTATTTGGCCATATTTGTCTCAGTTTACCTCTTTTCTTCTTTCCTTCCACTTAAAAAAAACATCAACAGTTTCTCTGTTGGGATTGTTTGGGAAAGACATTTAAGCCTCCTTCTTTACCAACCCGACCATTCCTGAGACATCCGGTCCCAGCCACTGTAACTTTGCAACTGCGGCGATGCAGAGGATGATTCTGCGCAAAATACTCAGTGGCTGCTCATCCACTGCTGGACTCACCGGTGCTCTTATGAAGCGAAACACTGCTCCATCCACTGCTGGATGAGATCTTCTCAAACTGAGCATTGCTGAAACAAAGGCCACTGAATAGCTGAAGACAGTTTTGCGGTATTTTATTATTTTTGGACCTCATCTTGTTTGTGTTGATCACATGCGGTAACTCTATATACCTTCACCGACAGTAACAATATCGTGCCAGTAGAAATATCTCAGTGGAAGTCGAGAGCTGCCCACCTGCCTTATAAGGTGTCAGTACCCCTGAATCAGGGATATCCCAAACCAGCAAAGCTGGGTACTCTCAGCGTTTGCTAAAGTGAACCGTCAGCTGATCTGGACCAGAGTGAACAATGTGAGCAGGGGCCCATGCTCCCCAATCCCCCGTTGTTCCCTGTTGACATTGGATTGTAATCCCCGCTGCCAATTCACCACCACCCTGCCTATTTATCTGAAGACTATTTCAGTCCATATCAAGCGCCACAAAACAAGTATGCAAAAGCAGGAGAGTTGTGTATAACTCTGCAATGTTTAGAAACTGTGTAGCCTTAATTTGAAATCGCAGTCTTTCCCCATGTGGTATGTAATGTCGTTACAGAGCTCTCACACCCTCGTAACAAGACAGCTCTGTAGCAGCCACCCATGCCTTCCACCTTAAACGTCCCTGTTTGCAGCACCAACGTGTCAAAGATTCCCCTCCCTGACTGCCTGGCTCTGTTTCCCATGCGACAGCAAGACTGTGTTCTTTGGGTTTTGATACACCTCCACTGAACAGGAGTTTCACATACAGAACTACTTTAATAATAGGGTTTCCCCCTTTTTTCTGGCAACAAAACTGAAACCGTTTTACAAGGATGCATGTCTGCATTAACCACAATACCTGCAGTCAAAATCAAACAAAAAACATCATCAAACAAAAAACATCATAGTATTTTTTTGTTTTATTTTTGACTGCAGATATTGTGGTTAATGCAGACATGAATCCTTGTAAAAAGGTTTCAGTTTTGTTGCCAGAAAAAAAGGGGGAAAACCCTATTATTATATTTTGGTACTGGCAAAGGAGGTCTAATGATGTAGAACTACTTTAGTTTGGGAATAAACTTTACCAGAATTACCCCATTTAAAGTTCCAATTTATTTTAAGTTTTAAGTATTTTTCCTCAAGTCTATCTTGATTGTGCTATCAGGTGTCATGTGATGAGACCAGGTCTCCGTTTGCATCTCGTGGAGAGTTCCACAACACGTCCACTGTGCTCGATGGATTGTTACATCGCAGGACTAGGAAATATGGTGACAGCTTGGGGTGGCCTTCATCCAGCAGTGGATCAAACAGCTGTAATTTTCATACTCCTCTCACAATCTGCCTGTCATCGGAGTACTAAGATAATATGTATTGGAGGTTTTTTTATATTCTCTAGAATTTAAATAATATTCTTGTGAAAGAAATACATCAATAGGAGCACAGATTTAAAAGTGCAAGCAATTTTCAATGAACCTTGTAAATTTTCGGTATTCGTTACTCCAACCTCTTTTGTATCGCTATTTAAGTCTTCCGAACTTATTCCACTGTTCCAATTCAATGTAATGTTTATTTGTTCCAAGGAAACTCCAGTTTAGCCAGTTACCCAGCTAGTTTTGGTGACAACGGACCCGCAGCTACGAACAATAGAGCCATTGGGGTGGAGAGGAGACCAGCCAGCAGCCAGCCAGGAAACTCGAGGTGTATATTATTCTTAATAATAGTATGATAACGCCTAGTACGCAGTTTATCTGGAGGGATGACTGTGGCTAACCTAGCCTCGTTGTGTACAGGAGAGAAGACTGAGAAGAACCACTGGTATATTGGGAGGAGCAGAATGAAGGGCTCCGTACAGAATCCCGTGGCCAAGGCGGTGCCGCAGGCCTTGGAGAGCGCACCCGACGCTGTGTCAGTGGGACCAGGACACCTGGAGGCCACCAAGGACGGGGGCTGCGAGTTCATGGTGCCTGAGTCGTGGAGGCACTCGGTCAGCCAGGCCTTGCTGGCGTTGTTTGAGAAGGAGCAGCTGTGCGATGTCACAATCAAGGTGAGATGCCTCCAAAGGTTCGACTGGGTCACTCCTGGGTAACTTTGTGTTCATCCGGTGAGCCGGGCCTTGAGTTGGGCCTCCTGTTCATACTGTAGGTCAGTCAGCTATTACGGTTGGCTGTGTACGATGTGAAAGAAGTTTAACGTACATACATAATGTTGATACAATTTTGACTGTTAAGAAAAGTAAATTGGCTTGGGCAGGACAAGTCACTCGAAGGGATGACAGTGGGTTATCATGACTGACGATGGAGTTTCAGCCAGGGCAGATCACGCGCCCAAAGGGGATGAGCTAAGTGTGTCAGGCTTGTGTGTGTCTTTTTGCCAGAGGCGAATGCATGACGGGTTTGTTCGTGCTCTCGGCATCAGGTGGGCGCTAAGCGGATCCCGTGCCACCGTGTGGTGTTGGCGTCAGCGGTGCCCTACTTCCGTGATATGTTCCTGTCGGACATGCTGGAGACGCGGCAAGGGGAGGTGTCACTCCAGGACCAGCAGCTGGAGGAGGGAGCCGTGGAGGCGATTGTGCGCTTCGCGTACGAGGGCCGTGCCCGGCTGGCGCCCGACGGCGTGCAGGCCCTGCTGTACGCTGCATGCATCCTGCAGGTGGAGGTGCTGGTGGGCGCCTGCTCCACCTACATGCAGAGGAACCTGGATGCATCCAACTGCCTCGGCGTGCGCGCCTTCGCGGAGATGCACAATCTGAAGGTTTGTATGGGCGTCTTCCTGAAAGCCTTGCTCTATGAGAATGGCACAAATTCCAAATGTACAAAATAGTTATTAGGATGCCTGGGAAATTTTATAGGATCATTGAGATGCATTTTTGTTTAAACTGATTGGTTTTGGTTTATGGCTTTTTGAGACACGAAAAATATTGAGAAGCAGTTGGAAGCCCATAGAGATTCATTGGCTTCCCCCTGCACCCACACAAACACTCCATCCCAATGGCATATGATTATTTGTTGTATGATTTATCAACAGGGCTTACATCACTTGCAGTTGTAAATGGTGTAGCGGATAAGCAGTGGTGTGACCAATAAGCCAGATTACCGAAATCATCCATTGATGAAAAGACATCATGCTGAATGAACGGTATTTGAACAGCTATGTACTACTCATGAAAGAAGTCTATTAATTTCATATTTAAGTTGTCACTTTTGCTTCAGAAGTATTACATTCGCAAGCATTTTAATGTTCATTTTATTTTTTCTTTGAAACTGCAGTGTAAGTTTATTGTTTTTTCTGCATGTTCTTGCCATGTTGTAAAACATGTATTGTGTTATATTAATTTTCACACAGAGCTTGGGATCTTTTTTAATTTTACGTTTCGTATACCGCCCACAGAAGTTGATGTCAGCGGCAGATGACTTTACGCGAGAGAACTTTGGTGCAGTGGCGGTGGCGGAGGAGTTCTTGGACGTCTCTCCGTCCCACCTGGTGGCCCTGCTCTCGTCCTGTGACCTGAGCGTGGTCGGCGAGGTGCAGGTGTACGAGGCCACCATGCGTTGGCTCCGCAGAAACTCGCAGCACCACGAGCGATGGCTTCCCACCATTGCCGAGCAGGTGACCCAGCCACTGTCGCTGCTTCACTGCAGCCTGTAGGCCACTCCATCTATCTCCCATGGCAATACAAACTATATTGTAGGTGACATTTCGTGTGATCTGCTGCCATTGCATCATCGCCAAATTATTAGTCAAAAGATGAGGTTGTTGGAACACCGTGTTAGCAGTTCTGGTCATGATCTCCCTCCACCTTGCCCGGTCCTCAGCTTCATGGATCAACCAATAGTGGTTTTCAGCACATCCAGTCTCAGCATGTTCAGAATACATGTTATATTGGGTGCCTATGTTCCCTACCTCCAACGTACACTGACCAACGTGGTGATGTTGGTATATATAATCCTCACGACCCATACGGAGTGGGCGGGCCCTCGTTCTGCAGCGTCTTGACCAAAGGGCTGTATATGTATGCGTCTTCATGGATTAGCATGATCTTGGTGAGTGGGTCTCATGTTTGAACGATATCCACTTTGGAGGTCCGCTTCCCGCTGCTGCCGCTGGACTTTCTGATGCGCACGGCATTTCGCGAGGAGCTCCTCAAGCGCAACATTCGGTGCCGGGATCTTCTGGACGAAGCCAAGAACTTCCACCTCCACATGCAGCACCAGGACGAGCTGACCGAATTCGAGTTCTCTGTGCGCACCACACCGCGAAAGAGTGCCGCCGGTACCAGCATCTTGAACTTAAGATTTTAAAAAGTTAAAATTAATTCCCCCAAGTTTGTCCTGATTCTGCAATAAGCATGATGTCTTCAGCTGAACTCTTGCAGAGCAGTGCAACCCTTTTTGTTAGCCCTGCTTTATAGGATCTTAGAGCTACCTCTGAGATAGATTCAAGTGACTTCACAAAGTAGGGACAACAATTTGCTACACTCCCTGGCACACAGTAATGTTCATTGCACGATAGTCAAACTGATATTTTTTTTACTCAGCTGGAATTACATTTAGTGTGATGGTCTTTATGAACGTAATAATTGGTGACCATGCTAAGATCATTCATCCCAGGATCTCCCCAGAGCCATCTCCGTGCAATGACCCCTGAGCCTCCCATATACAGTGGTTATTGTAATAACACATGCTCACTCCCATAAAGGACCGCACAAGTTGTAACATGTTTGTATCAAGGATGTGAAGATATGAAAGTGTCAGCTGGAACTTAACTGCGGACGTGCCTAATAATATCTGGCCTGTGCTGTTGACATGGGAAGGAGTGCTCTTCTGCGTGGGTGGCCGAGGAAGCATGGGAGACCCTTTCCGGAGCATCGAATGCTATGACCTGCAGACTGGAAGCTGGTTCCTCGCTGCCGAGATGAACAGTCGCAGGCGACACGTGGGCGTCATCTCTGTAGGAGGTGAGTTGAGCCCCGAAGCAGCTTGACTCTGCTGATGAGACCCAGAAGATCGAAATGGCTCCAGATTTTCCTTGCTTTAAACAAATGTTGCTTGGAAATCCAGTAGACTGATAGGCTGAAATCTACTGTTATTCATTTGTTGAGATATAGAACAGAGTTCTACTAATTTATACGTTTTCCTTAGGAATACAACTCTCTTAGTTGGTGTTATCGCAGAAGAAGGATGGCCTGGGTTTTACGTCGAATGGGGGGTGAATATTTACAATGTGTCATCTATTTTTATTGTTTCTCAAGCAATCTGTCACCGAGTCACGAGTGAGAGCAGCCCATAATAGAATAGGTGTATTCGTAAAAATGGCACGAATTAGCATGGAGTAAGCACACTTAACCCATGAGGTGGTATCATGATGACTCGACGTGGATATGTTCTGTATGTAACGCCAGGAGTAACAATGCGATATGTAAAGTGCTGAGTTCATGTTTGAACAATTTGGATAGTTATTTTAGTGCATGTGTACTTGGCCGAGCCAGGCCAGTGTCATCGTCTGCTGTCAGTCCTCCATCCAGTGTGCCCAGAAGACAATTCTCAACAATATGCATCATAATGTGGACGTGTCCATATTTACAGGGCTATCCCAGATGCCCAGCTGGCCTTGTTAGCTGTGCACTGAACAAAGGGATGTTGTAATTTCTGCAGGGAAAGTATATGCGGTGGGTGGGCACGATGGCAATGAGCACCTGACAAGCATGGAGATGTTTGATCCTCTCACCAACAAGTGGATCCCCAGGGCCTCAATGAACACCAAAAGGTACGGGGATGCAGATATATGATGGTGATAATATCTTTCGCCTGTGGTTAAGTTGCCCGGAATGTGGCCAATCTTATGAGATAATCAGGATTGAGTCTGGATAGTCCTTACATTGGCGACCACCATGCATACAACAGATGCTGTAGGCTGCTGCAGCGCTACGTTTTCAACATAAGGCAGTGCAGAAAATCCTCTGTTGCCTTGTACTGTTCTCCAACGTTTACGCTGCCGATCTTCACCAATCTGCATTGACCAGCTTGGTGAAGTATGTCAAATAACCTCCACAACTTTTGCAAGGCTTAGGGCGGGGGGGGGGACCTCTCACCTAGCAGTATACATCTACAACATAGATGAAATGTGCTACATTGACATGCCGAACCTACGCCATTGTCAGGTCATTGTCACCGTCGGTGTCACCGTAGACGAGGAATAGCTCTGGCGGCACTGGCATCGGGCCCCATCTACGCCATCGGGGGGCTGGACGACTCGGCCTGCTTCCAGACGGTGGAGCGATACGACGTGGCGGCCGACTCCTGGAGCACCGTGCACTGCATGAACCTGCCGCGTGGGGGCGTGGGCGCCGTCGCTCTTGGGGTTCGTGTCCCGTTGGCTCTGAGCACAGCCTGGAATTGCAATTTTTGGGGGGAATTGGCCTGCACCTCACTGCGTTCACTGCAGACCGGCGGTTACTGTGCACTTAAGTCTAAGAGTTTGAAATTAAGGTTTGAGAATTACAATTAAGATGAGTACAACAGGTTAGCTTCACGAAGTGAAAAACTGAAATTGAGTTGGACAGCACATGGAGCCAGCATATTAGGTGACAGAAAGATAAAATTAGCAATGGAATGGAGGCTGATCGGAGAAAGGAGGATGAGAGGTAGACAGACACTGAAATGCTGAGATGAGAGTACAAGATCTGGAGGAGCACATTAGATGGAGGTGGTTTGAGGTTATGAAGAGTGTTCGTCTTTGGTGGAGTACTTTGTCCAGCAATAGGATGGTAATGGCTGAGATTTGAAGCCAAGATATCACAGGTTCTGGCTTGATATTCTGGCACAAGTGGTCGTGGTGGTCAACCTGAGCCACTCAGTCATCTCACTTTGCTTTTATTTTCAGCGCTACATCTACGCGGTGGGTGGGAACAATGGGCAAACATCTCTTGCGACCGTGGAACGATACGACCCTCCGCTGGACAAGTGGGAGGAAGTGAAGGGAATGAAGCAGCGTCGGGCTGGTGCAGGCGTGACTGTGCTCAACCGCTGCCTATACGTTGTGGGTGAGAGGGAGCACCAACATTTTAACCCAGACATCCTTGTGTAATAAAATAATTGGTACATTTGATATTCGCACCATTCTTAAAGCACAAGGCTATCAAAAAGGTGCTATGTTTCACACATTCACATTAAGTGGTAGGAGGGGGCGATATTGCTATTTGTTTTTTGCAGTGAAGTAGTTTATAAATAACTCTTCCCGATACGAGAAATTTCAGTTGTGTTATTCCAAACTGAAACGTACAATTTTACATGGATCAGTCATTGTGGTTGAGTGTACGAAGAGTATTCTTATGGGACAATGATCAATTTGTATTATGTGAATTGTGTTGTCTTGGCAGGTGGCTTTGATGACAATGCACCCTTAAACTCGGTGGAAAAGTACGACCCCCAGAAGGACCGGTGGGAGGAGGTGGCAGATCTCACAACGCCACGTGGAGGTGTAGGGGTGGCCACACTCATCGGAAAGATTTTTGCAGTAGGAGGCCACAATGGCAGCACCTACCTCAACACGGTGGAAGCCTACGACCCTCTCACTAACAAGTAAGCACACCCACATTCATGCAAAATGGCTTATTAATTCAGACAGAGTAATATGATCATATTTTCTGGTCTTATCATTGCTCAGCGGGGCTGTAAGTGATTTCAGATTTTCACTCGGGGTACAGGTACAGTGGCATATTATCGAGTCTTACTGAATTTAGAAATAAATAGCTTTCTGTATTCTATATACAGTTTGTGTCGGCATGCATGAAATCCGTTGTACAATTCTGTTGTGTTTTTTTCACGTCTAACACGTGGTGGGTTTTGCAGGTGGGAAGCAGTGGGCTCTATCTCGCAGTGCCGGGCGGGAGCTGGAGTCGCCATCTGTGCCTGCTCCATCAAGCAAATCCGAGAAGTCGCCCAAGGCACAGGGGGAGTTGCTGACTGCATGTGACCAAATTGTGCACATGTGGGTCTCTGGAGCGCGGGCCACAGTTACAGTGGCATTCTCTTGTTATTTTCATGGTATTTTCCCAGTTTTTATTTCAATTGTGCTGTTACAGTAATTTTCACAAGGTGACATATAACACTTGGAACTCTTGCAGAGCAGTACATACTCTGTAAGTGAATGGCCAGCAGAAGGAGGTATCATGGAACTGCTTCTGAAGTCCCTGAATGTTACCCCAAATTCAGTGTATAAACTAAATGTTAAGTGATAGGTTTATTTGTGTAGTCATTGCTGATTGGATTAAAGCTTCAGCTCACTACTACACTTGAGGATGCAGATTTGACCCGAGGATCTTAGCAGTGCTCTTGGTGTTTTACCTCACAGTAGCTTTTGTAAGATGGTCAAGTCGTAAAAGCTGTGATATTAATTATTGATTTCCAATGTGTTACAAGCTTCTTCAATCAATATATGCTCCATTATTATATGTTGTGTTTTAGCTAGTACAATTGCATGTTTTTGTTTTATTTGTTGCCACTTTAATATGGAAAGCTCATTGTAAACATGAAACAAGAAAACTTTAACTCTCGCAACGAGACTTCAGAAACTAATGTTTCGTTTGAAATTTAATTCTATTAAACTATCTTTGCTCATAATTCAATAATATTTCCATTATTTACATGAATATTAAATGTTTACTATTGTATCATAGGATCTCTTGGTGCAGCTCGAGAGCTGCATATTGCTAAAGAAGGTTATGAAAAGGAACACATGTTCACTGAATTGTGTGCACTTTGGTGATGAGTTGCACTTGGCTTTAAAAAGTTACATGTTACTTACATGGTGTTGTGCCTAACACTATTTAAATACGAGTCGTATTTGACATTTCACGTTTTGTAGCTCATGCTGTAAATTTGTTATTGACCTGTATAAGCCATATGATGTTTGTGTTGGCATACTTTTCATATACAGTACAGCCCTTTTGTCGCTATACTGCTGGATGAGGGCTTTCCCGGGCCTTGTGGGTCGTGCGGATTATTTGACAATACTTCACGTTGATCATTGGTCGTTCGTGAAGGCAGGGAGCATACAAATGTGGTAGCATAGAAGAACTATACATTAAAATTTTCCTGAACTGCCCTCTGCTGCCCGGAATGTATACTTTCCTTGAAATGCCTGTAATTGAATGTCAATGCTTTACATGTATCAGTGTGACGCTATTTTAAGAGATTACACATTTCAGGGTTTCATGTCTGCTGCCATAAGATGTTGGAGACAATCCTTTTAAATGAGCCACGTGCCATATAAATCACATGGAAGTTATACGAAGCCATCGTGTTCTATGTAAACGCTACTGAAAGTAATTTTAGTTTTGTTATTGCAAGTAAAAAACAATTGTTAGAAACTGTAGTTTAACACATTCATGTGCACCATTTGTTAACAAATGCTTATTTGAATGTTGCTTACAGAAGCTGCTGGATGTATACCTGTAAAGGACCAATGATTTAAACCTCTTTAAGAAATATATATTTTGTAAGCATATTAATGCACCACTGGAATGAGCATATGGGTTGCAATATTGTCTTACGAGTGGATTTAACAAGGCTGAATTACTGAATATTTTCCGGGTCGCTGGTAGACTGGAGTCAGCTCGTGGCCACAGCCATAGAGAGGGGTATGCTGGATGTGTTTTCACGTCTCGTCATATTTTCCGGTTAACTGCTCCAGACAGACCCGGCCAAACTTAAGCCCTGGATGTAAGGTAATACGAAATAAACTATTTAACAATTGAATGGTTGTGTGGCGTTTGCTTGTGGTCCTTATAAATGATTGTGGTTCTTTTTTTTTCTTTCAATTATGGGGTTATGTGTATAAAAAATGGGACTAAACCACACACGGCAAGACACTTCCTGTAAGCAGTGCACATGAATGGCGGTGCTAAATTGGCCCGTTATGTAACCACGTGCAATTGCAAGGTTATGTTAATGCAGTGATGCGCTCACATCAATGAATGTCACATCAGCATTGGCATGAAGGACTGTACATGTATGAAAGGGAAAGTATATATTTTTAAGAATTGACCTTAAACTGCATCTCCCACCCCACTGCGGACATGATTAAAGACACGCTGGAAGTTCTGTGCATTGTCAATCTCGCGGTCAGCTGCAAAGTGGACGTGAAAGACATGACATACACAAAAGCGTGTTGCCTGTGCAATAACCCAAAAGACAAATACACATGTTCCCCGCACTTAAATTGAATGATAACAAATATTCTATAGTGACATCTCAATTTAGTAAAACAAAAATAACACCTGCCGTTTTTTTTAAATCAGTGAACTGAAAACCATTGACTCATGACGAGCCAGGTGCTTTTGGAAAAAAAGGCTACCGCCTCTGGCTATTTTCTTTACCGTACGAAGTACACATTGTTCATTACAATCATTTCACAATTGGTTTGGCGCGTTGCTCGTGTGCTGTCGTTGCATTGCGAACAACTGGCAAGTTGTCCTGCGACAATGCCTGACTTTAGAATGTCTACACAGCGACATCTAGCGACTTGGAAGAGTTAACAATTGTGCCGATGGGCACGCACACGTGGCCACCAGTACGCAGAGGTTCTACATGTTGCAGGCAGACACGTGTTCGCTCTCGCGCCGTCCCTTTCACCTTCATCACCACGCGTCTGGCTCAAAGGCATGGGCAAGAAGCAGAAGGGCAAGCAGAACGAGGCGTAAGTAACGAGAGGATTGGAGTGAGGGAGGTCGAGTGTTAGGGGAACTGCAGCCGCTGCTGGTACGAGATGGACACGCCGCTCGGATAGTCGCTCCGCCGAGCAGGGTGGCCCGAGGCCGGCGGCGTGAGGCAGAGCGAGGGTGGTGAGGCTGCGAGGGGTGGTGTAGGCCCCTTGTACAAGCAATGTTTACGATGTCCCTTGTGTACCCTACGTACCCATTGTCTCTTATGTTCTCACATAATCTTATGCGTGCCGTGTACCCCATTGTGTAACCTTTGAGTGTGTCGCATGTGCCACGTATGTAGCATAAAGGGGTCATTTGTCCCCCGTGTAGTCTTTACGTCTGCTGTTCACGCGTCCTCTGTGGGATGTGTTTTTCGTTTGCCCACACTGCAATGTCATACAATGCAACAAATACACAAATTTCAATTTGAGCCAAGCGTCCTGATTGAGGGGTGCTATTATAATGCTGTAATAGCCACGGTTTGGTATGTAGAATGTTGATCCACTAAATACTTTACTCAATTTTGAGTTGCTTGTGGGTGCTTGTGTCATTGCCATAATGTTTAATGGTTTAAATGGCAAGCGGGGTTTACCATGAGCTCACGGTTGCGTTTCTCAAATTTAAATAAATACATCTAATTGTATTATTTTGGGTCTTTCGGTAAAGTCACGTCGATAGAAACATTCCTGCAGTCACGAAAGCTTTAAGTCAACACCTGATCGTGTCAAAGGAACTTGATTGAAACCAAGTCTGTCTGTGACCACACATCGAGCTGACTTGCTCGTGGGTTTATTTTAATGTCGGTGTACGGCCCCAGTGAGCCTACAAGCGTCGTGTTTGCAGTCAAGTTTCCTGAGGTACCATGTGAGGTGGTAAACTAACTACGGCTGCAGACATTTGTGGGTGTTTTATTTTTTAACGCATTTACAGTCGGGTCCCCCCGCGCGTTTCCTTCCTGGCCTCTAGATTCTTTATTGGCTGGTCAGCATTCAATTTACCGTAACACTGTACTGACACGTGCATTACTTACCTAGGCCGAATTAGTTGTATAACGATCACCTGATTTTAGTGCGTTGTTTGCATGCAGCACTTACATTAGAGAGCAGTGGCTCATCCACTGAGCTCTGAACCTGATGAGCCGAGTTAAATTCCAGATCCATGGGCAATCATCAGTGGCGGATGATTCCTGAACCACTCCTGCCCAGCCCCCACATGTTTCACCAACCCGCGCTCTGACCAGGATGGTGAAGTATGGTCAAGCAACCTGGTTAACTGTTTGGAGGTTGTATGCGCAGTAGTTTTAAGTGTGCGGTATGGTCGAACAAGGCCCATGACCGACCTTCAGTGAGGAGGCCTTCATCCAGCAGTGGCTTGGCAGAGGGCTGTACATTACTCAATTTTTGTTTTCATATTCAAACGACTCGACTGAATTATCTTACTAATTGACACCGTGGGCATGTATGGCCCTTTGTCAATGTAATTCTTTGTCATGGGAGTTGTTTAACCTTACTTCACCGTGCTGGTCAGTGCGGGTTGGTGAAGGCGTGTGGTCGTTGGTTGGGGAGGGCGGGAGCGTATAGTAGTGCAGTACAATGATGACATTTGCTGCAGTGCTGTCTGCAGCCCACCACGGAGCCCCGCAGCAGCCTATAACACCTTTGAAGCATGGTGATGACTCATAGCAATCACTAGCCAGCCTCCAGCCTGCTTAGCATCATTCGAGGTCTGACGAGGTCTGTTGCATTCCGGGCGATTCCATCTCAGGCTATCCTATACCAACGCCACGTAGCCGTTAACTTACTCGCAGTAACCGTGAACCAGTGATTGCTTTGAGATGATCGACCGTCCGATAATTATCGATAAGAGTATCGGCGATCGACCACACACACCGCCACCACCACCACCATCATCAACCACTAGGCGCGAATGACGCAACGGCTGTGGGGGGGGAGGCGGTCGTCGAGTTTACGAACCCCAGTGCCTCTCCGTGACCGCGCCATTCCCGCGTTCGTGTTAAACTCCCGCGGCTCTCCGACATGGGCAAGAAGCTGAAAGGGAAGCAGAACGACGAGTGAGTGTACCCCCGACGGGGACGGCTCGCCCTGTTGGTTGTCCGCAGCACCCCGAGTGGCCGCGAGCCCGAAGACGGAGGAGGCGGGGGGCCGGTCTCGACTAGCGGGGATACCGTAAAAGGTGGAGGGTGGCCGGCCATACTTTGGGCTCTGCGACGATATAGGCCGCGGTGCGACGTGTGGCGTTATAAAAGGAGACGGGGTTTTATATTGTTAAGCTAGTGGGTGATTTAATTGAGCTTAATTGGTCACAAAATGAAAGATGTTAGTGATTTGGGTACAGTGAGAGGTGTTTTGGTGTTATTTGTACAGCATAATGGGCCTGCTCACGTAATGTTCAGTGCGTGGGCTTCTAAGCCATATGGGTCTAAGGGCATTGTAGATGCTTCTCTTTGGTACGTAAACTATGTATTTTGTTACAGACTGCAGAATATGTTAATATTGGGAGGTTTTTTTCCTGTGGCCGTTTGCGTCATATGTTTTATGTTATCTTTGTCATGTAAACCAATGTCAGCTGTGCTTTAAGGTGTTTTATTTCAGCAGGTTAAGGAAGTGTTTAAAGGTAAAGTAAAAATCCATTAAGTCAGTCCATTTCATTGTTTATACATAGACAAATAAATGTCTATTGGAGTAAAAAGGGGTGGATAACAGATTTAGACAATAAACTATGATTTTTCTTATTAAAACGAGGATATGAACTATACTGTACATGTTTCGCCTCTCCAATAAATGCGTTTGGGATGGAGTGAATGAGAACGGGGCTATATTTGTGGAAATGTGGAAATAGGGAGTACTTTCCCTCGATTCCAATGGTAAACCAAGTGACAGTAAATGCATATGTTGCAAAGACATGCAGATTAGAAGCCTTGTCTTTGACGATTTTTAAATATCAAACGGGTCAAGAGAGATGTAAACATATCATCACTCAGACATGTAAATTGTAATAATTGTCCGGGCACATACATTATTGTCAATTAGCAGAGTGACACAATTGTTAGAATGTCTGAACTTTTGACCACTTTCTAAACCATCACAGTGACAAAAGGGCAGTGTTTGCACATTTTCTTGAAACGCCCACGCGAATAGTTGTACAACTCACGTGTGTCCCTGTACCCCATATTTAACCCCTTGTGTTCAGTGGTGGCAATGCCGACGACGTGGACATTGATGCGCTGGCGGAGGAGATTGAAGCGGCTGGCTCGGCTCCGGCTGCCAAGGGAGGTGGCGAGAAGAAGGGCAAGCGGAAGAAACAGAAAAATGACTTCTGGTGCCAACTCCATTGCCACTCACCTGTACCCCAAACCCATGGGGTCCACTTGCCTGTGCAAAACGCGTAGGCTGTGCAGTGGCAAACTACCCTTTCTGCACTGCAATCATAGTGCCAATTAGCCGATTCCATTGATTGCTCAACTTTTTTCTTAAGCCATGCTGTAACAATTGTTTTACTGACCTGGCTGTTTGAGTAAACCCAACGCTAGCCATATGTATCAGTAACATCAGTGGTCTCTGTTAATTCTTTATATTTTAGCTTTGGAACTTTTTGTACCGCCCTCATATTTGAATGTGGGGCATACTTTTTTTCCGATTGTCCGCAATGAAAGGCTTAGCTCAATCATAGTGTATAGTTACATGTCACACATGGTTGACTAGGGTGTGTGTGTGTTTTACAGTGAGGATGACATCTTAAAAGAGCTGGAGGAGTTGTCTCTGGATAGTGAAGCTGTCAAAAAGGAGGTGGCCAAGCCTGTTGCAACACGGGTATGAGAACTTAATTTTTTAGTATAATATTTTAGCCTTAAATATATTGCGTTGCCAGGTGGTACAAAGTGTGAATGCTGTTTTAAAGCAGTGGGATTGTATGCTGTCAATCCTGGGTTAAAATCCAGTGCTTTGATGGTTGCTGATGTTGTAATTGGAACATTTAGTCTGGGAAAAACTAATTCTCATTATAAATATCACATGTTCTCACATTGTATCTATTTTTGCTCATTTGCGTCATCGTAAAATCTTGTCTTTATTAATTAGCAATTAATCTGTAACTGGAAGTTACATTGCATTGGCCTACATGCAATGCTGCCAATGAATGTGCTCCTAATGGTTTTAGGAGAGCGATGATGAGAGCCAAGGTGCTTCCAAGCAGGAAAAGGGAGCCAAAGGCAAGCAGCAGAAAACAGGCAAAAAACCTGAGGAAGAAGTGATCACTCCGGAGGATGATGCACTAACGGCTGGGAAGAAGGGAAAGAAAAAGGGAAAACAAAAGCAGGAAGTGAATGAGGAGTCTGAAGATGAAATGCTGCCTGCTGTTGGCAAGAAGAAAGGGAAGAAGGGGAAACAGCAACAACGAAAAAGCAGCGATGAATCTGACGAGGAGCAGGATCAAATAAATAAACCTAGTGCCGATTCTGTGAAAGATGTGGATTCGGACCAAGAGGAACATGCAGCAGGTAAGAAGAAAAAAGCTGCGATTAAACCTACTGCGAAGAAGGAGGAACTGGGAGGCAAAGAGCCCATTCAGCCCCAGAAGGACATGGTGGAGCTGAGTGAAGGGGACTCGGAAGAGGAAGATGAAGGAATATCAAAGAAGGGAAAAAAGAAAAAGCCGAAGCAGGTGAAGGCTGAGAGTGATGATGAAGTTGTAGAGGAGGGAGAGAGGACTGTCAAGACCGCTGCCCAAAAACGAGCAGAGAAAAAGGAGCGGGAACGGAAAAAACGTGAAGAGGAGAAACTGAAGATTAAGCTCAAGAAAGATCAGGCCAAACCGAATGAGGGGGAGAAGGTGGAGGGCCAGGCCACCGCAGCCCCTGCCAAAGCGACAGAGAGCAAGGAGCCTAAAGCAGGAGCTGAAACTGCTGATGCTGAAGGTTTGTTATTTGAGTGACTTTGTTATTGTTGTGCCATGTTTCTTTAATCGAGCTAAACATATAATAATACAAGTTTTAATTTATAGTATTTATGAACATTTGTATAATAATTGCAGTTTATCAAATAAAGCCTCGCTGTCAGGAATCGTTTTCAGTAGTCTTGCGATATTGGCCAGTTCCGTTGTAAAGAATGTGTCTAGATTTTCGTGATTCAATAACCCTTGCAGAGCGTTGGGTTACAGGGTGTGGCACCATGCCTGGTTCAGCTTCGTTTACCATGATAAATTAACTCGTATCTAGTTTATGGGTGCTTCAAAAGCAAAAGAAGCCGTTTATATTGTTTCATCTTATGTTAAATGCGTCCTTGCTCAATGCCCCTTCCATCACCTTTTGCTCTCCTTCAGTGGCAGCCGAGGAGGACGAGGATGATGGTGCTGGGAAAAAGAAGAAAAAGGACAAGAAGAAGAAGACGGGTGAGAAGGGCGCCGGCGAGGAGAAGCCCGAGAAGAAAAAGGGAATCAGCAAGGCGACGGTGAAGGCCATGCAGGAGGTGCTGCAGCAGCGCCGCGAAGAGCAGGAGAGGGCCCAGCGCGAGGAGGAGGAGCGCATTCGACGTCTGGAAGAGGCAGAGGCTCTGTGCCTGGAGCAGGTGGGCTTCCACGTCTCTCATGGGGCACAGTAGACCACAGTGGACGTTTCCCACAATTAACTTTTATGAGCAGTGGGAGTTAACTTTTGGAAACCTGTGTTCCATGCAAGCAATTTATACCGGTAACTGAATTGATTACTGTTCCTGTTGCATTTTATTTCCTGAATTTGTTGACTAAATTTGCTGCTTGAAGTAGCTGTTAATGTTTAGAGCAAGCTTGACACCTCCCCCCCTTCTCCCTCCAACCTTGCTCAGCACTTGGCATGTTCACACTAAACATCCAGCAAGGACAAGCAAATCCGGTCGTTGTGGATGCACGCTTGTGCCTGGCTAACATGGCGAACGTGGTGGTTGCTTTGCCCCGTTCGTTGGCGTCTGGGTCATCGCACCTTGGATGTAGGAACGGCTGGAGGCAGAAAAAAAAGAAAGGAAAAAGCAGAAGGAGAAGGAGCGGAAGGAGCGTCTGAAGCAGGAGGGGAAGCTCATGTCCAGCAAGCAGAAGCAGGACAAGGCACGTGCTGAGGCCATGCTGAAGGCCATCCAGGAGCAAGGTACCCGCAGCTGTCATGTGAAAGAGGAATGGAAGAAATGTGGGAAATATTTATTTGGTGGCTAGATAAATTTTTTATGTTGCATCGATTCATCAGTTAAAATGGATTCGTACATTCATAATAATAGTGAAAACTTAACTGATACATTTTTATCGTGTTTGTTGTATGTAATTGGTTCACCTATACCCTGCAACCACCAGAGTAACTGAATTCACAACATTAATGAAGTAATCGATTTAATTGATTTCTGACTCCCACTTAATTACATGCCCACTGCTAATCTGATTTGCTTGAAATTGATGATTATATTCTTGCCTCCTGGTAACTTCTTCAGGGAATTGCCACAACACGGTGTTGGCTGTAAAAGTGGGTATTAAAGACCCTGCAATGTAATTCGTAAAAGATTGCCATTGTTTGCATGTGTCTGAATGAAATGGAGCGTACTGACCAAGAGTGCCGGTGATGATTAATATTTCTGGCCCCGTGGATTCGCCCGTGTCAGGGTTTGAGATTCCGTCGAAGGAAGCTGGGCTGAAGAAGCGGCCGGTGTATGATGACCGGCGCAAGAAGCAGAAGCAGCTGGCGCAGGACAGCAAGGCAGCCGATGGCACTGCAGTAACAGGTGCCAACTGAGCCCCAAGCACTCTCATTGACCCTCATCACTGTTTCTTTCTCTGCTCTTTAATTTGCAGGTGGTGGCGAAATATATTTTTGAATGTCGTCAGTTGTGATTCCACCTATTGACGTTTTCGATTTTGAATTGCAGAAGTGATGGAGGTTGATGAAGCTTCGACTCCCGTTGAAGAAGCACCTGTGGAGTCGCCTGTAGAAGAACCAACAGGTGCGGATCATACAATGGACAAAGCAGGGGAACTCAATCTCACAAGCAAACCTTGCCTTCACATCGTTAATTACCGAAATCTACAGTTCGCTTTCTGTCCACCTCAAAAATGAAAAGCTGCGAGAAGCCATTCTCCCCCAAGACCAAATCTTTGGATATGTTTTATTGAAGTTGCTGCTTACGTGCGTAAACTAAATGGGTGGTGGATGACCCCTGTCCACAGTAACGGAAGAGGTCGTACCGGAAGAGCAGGACGACGAGCTTGATGACTGGGAGATGATGGCGAATGATACGAAAGACGAACCTGAGGGTAAGTGCATTCACAGTGTCCGCGACTCCGAAATAATTTGGTGTGATGGTTGGCTCTCAGTTCCTTGTGTTTGTGCTGCAAACCAACAAGCTATGATGAGTCGCCCTTGAAAAAGAGCTGTATAGATCAACGGACTTTGCTTGGGTTATAAACATCCGACTTGTGACTATCCAGATGGTCAAAGAGCTCCAAAATAAAAAAAATACAAATCATGAATAAAAGTAGGTTGTAATATTTAAAGTGTAATATGTTGCCGTTTGTGTCTATGACCAAATTGCCTAAAATGTCCCCAATCTTGTTAGATCTTGGAAGCTAAGGGTTGAGCCTGGATAGTGCTGGTGATGACTTTGCTTCACAGCTGTTATAGGCTGCTGGGTTGTGGGCAGCAGAGGGCTATACGACCAAAATATATTGTTGTCCCTTGAATGTTCCTATGTCTTTGCTTCCCACCTTCATGAAACTGCCCCGATCAGCGTGGTTCAAGCATGGTGCAAATAAACACGATCATCCGCACGGCATGGGGAGGCCCTCATCCAGCCTTTGATTAAAAAAATGTCTGTACGTGTACACATCTTTTAACCGTAAAGGCAGCTGTCTGTACCAGGAATCCATGTGACGTGCATCATGTCGCCTTGTCCAGACGGCCCGCGACCACCGGAGAAGGTGCACATCGAGGTGAAAGGCGGCGAATCGGCGGTGGATGGGCATCCCGAGGAGGCAGCAGAGAGGGAGACGGAGAGCGGCAGCGAAGTAGACAGCGCCGACGAGAGCAAGGACGACGACGACGATGATGAAGATGATGACGACGAGAGCGAGTCGGAGTCGGAGTCCGAGTCGGACACCGACGACAGGACGAAGGAGCAAAAGATTTACGACAACGCTAAGAAGAGGATAGAAGTGGGTGCTGTGCGACCGCAGCGCGTGCTTCTACACAATTTTTTTTACGTGCGTGAATGATTGCGTGTGGCACGTGGATTTGCATGAATAGATGTCTCCGTTTTTGCTAATGTTAACCAAATACATTTACGATGTTCTTTTTTTAGAAACGTCGAGCAGACAACTTGACCAAAGTGACATTGGATAGGCTGCGAGCACCGGTGATTTGCGTGCTGGGTCACGTAGACACGGGCAAAACCAAAATCCTCGACAAGGTACCAATCGCAGAACTGTGCTTTGCCGACAACTGACTGTGGTTGCCGGATGTATGTGAGATTTCTTCTGCTGAGTTGTGCAACAGAGTTGATTGTATAATTTGTAAAATTAGACACGATGAGCCTTCATGCTTTGCTTCTCTTGATGAGTACAGTTCTTCCATCAGTTTTGACTTAAGTTTAAGAGTAGGGATTGACACGTTCTAGGTGGTGGAGGTGCGCTTATGAGTGATGTGTATTTGTGTTGTCTTGTCACGCCTGTCGGAGCTCAGCTACGGCACACGCACGTGCAGGATGGGGAGGCGGGTGGCATCACGCAGCAGATCGGAGCTACCAACGTGCCTCTCGACGCCATCAAGGAGCAGACCAAGATGATCAAAGAAGTGAGGGCTCTGTTGCATGTGTTAAGGCCATGCTGCAAGATTACCTATGCCACAATTGTGGATGCTGTAACTAAGCTCCGTTATGTCCATACATCTGCGGTAGGAATTTGTGAAACTTTTTTATGTTTTTAGGCACTGTATTGGTTTGGCTTGTTTCATGCAATTAATGTTTGTTTTTTCTCCATGTGAGTTTGCACACTTCTTCCTTGCAATGTCCTGTAACTGTCGCCACTGCCGATTGTTTTGGCTGGTCGTCCTTGTCAAACAGCTGTTTAGTTCAGTTTGGCCCTGCCACTTGAAATAAAGTTAGATTCTGCATCTATCACCTTAAACGGTTGACAACTGTGAATTGGTTAACTGATGAGATGTTCGTATTTGTGTGTTGGCCATCTCTCTCCCTTTCTCTCGCTGTCTCAGTTTGACCGGGATGCCATCAAGCTGCCTGGCATGCTCATCATCGACACACCTGGTCACGAGTCGTTCAGGTAACTTCTTCTGCTCAACATGGTGCTGATCAGCTAGAGCATTTATCATTAAAACTTTGTGGTGGACATTTTTGCACCTAATTTTTGTGGCTTTCTGAATTTTTTTCCTTGGATGTCATTCAACATAGATAAAACCTGATTTAAGTATATTGATGGATCATAACTGATGGTGCTAAGAATTTAAACGTATTGTGCTCACATTTTCCCCTATATCATGCATTGTATTATCTGTGCTGTGTTGCAAATTGCATTGTGTGTGCAGTGGCTATGGAGTGGTTCACATTTGCTGTTCCGCTGCGTACACCGCTGCGCTGCAAAACCCACCAAACTGAGTTTTATTCCAAGGCCAAGGCTAACATCGCCAAGCTAGCTGAATCGAGTATTATTAAACAACCAACTCATCCAGCAGTGGAATGACATTGGGCTGCACTGTACCGTGTGTTGTGATGGCGCCCCTGACAATTCAGCAACCTGCGCAACCGTGGGAGCTCTTTGTGCGACATCGCCATCCTCGTGGTGGACGTCATGCACGGCCTGGAGCCACAGACCATCGAGTCCATCAACCTACTCAAGACCAAGAAGTGTCCGTTCATTGTGGCCCTCAACAAGGTGCATTGGGGTGTGGGACATTTATCTGTTGGGCTTGCTCAGCAGGGCCGGAGATGGGCATAAATGCTGGTAGAAGAAATGAACAATAGATTTAACTTGTTATTTACTTTTTTTTTCTTGGCTATCCTATATATGATTTTGTGTTTCAGTAGGTCCTTGCCTGTCAATTAGAAATTGATGCGTAACCTTAAATGCTGTACTGTTGATTGACGATTATTTGTTGGCGTTTTAGGGCTTCTGTTTCGCTTATGCTGTATAACTGCTGATGTAAAAATTCGTATTAATATTTTTTCACGTAATTAACTTCTAAATGCAGGGCAGTGTTATCTCAGTTGTTACAATACTACACTGAATCCTGTGGGTTGACAAAGGTGGAAAAAATAATGATAATATTTGTTGCTCTTTGGTTTTTTCGGTAAAGTCACGTAGGTAAAATAAAAACAATAATTTTACCTATGTGACTTTACCGAAAAAAAAACAAAGAGCATGAATCCTTGCAGTAACGAAAGCTTCAAATCTAGAAATAATATTTGTTGTTAATATCCAAAGTCTTGTTTTCGTGGCTTCACGTGTGTGGTTTGTTTTTGTGTTGCTGTTGCCACTGCTGTGTGTGTGCAGATCGACCGGCTGTACGACTGGAAACGTGGGCCAGACTCCGATGTTGTCTTCACCATCAAGAAGCAGAAGAAGAACACTAAAGATGAATTTGATGTGCGCGTCAAGTCCATCATCGCGCAGTTTGCCGAGCAGGTGAGCGGCAACCGGATGGTTCGCGACACGCGAGGCCGCACGTTGAGACGCTCTGTTCACTTGATGTTTGTTAAGTTTTAAAATCTCTGTTGCGGGAAGATAGCACAGACTAGCATTTCAATTTACGTGTTTATTTGTTGTGGTTATTACATTGGCTGAATGTTTGCTTATTACCATCACTTTGGAGGAAATGATATGTGAATGGATTTTTTTGTATAAGCGCCCTCCCTCACATGGCTGTGAAGTGGCTCGGAGATGGCAGTGCAGAAAGTGGATTGCGATCCCGTCTCGGTGTGGTTTTATTTGTTATCCACTGGAATGTTTGTGGCCTTGCTGCGATTAATCGGGTTTCTTCCCAAATGCAAAACACTTGAAAATTAAAATTGGCCAAATGCAACCTTCCTGAAAATGAGTATAGCGACTCCATTGATGCTTTATGGATAAATAACATAATTAACATGTTTACTCATGTTGTATTCCTGCATGTAGCACATGGAGTACCACTATGAGCTACAAAAATTCGTTGGAGCAATCCACCACGAATCAACTGAAGCCACTGGCATTGACTTATTCATCCCAATCCATCCCGCCCTACGTGGGAAATCTCACCCGTGCAAAGTCACCCGGTCAGCTACGCGTGTTTAGCGACTCTTGGTTCGTTTCCCCTTGCGTCCGCGTTGTCGTGCGGGCAGGGCCTGAATGCGGCGCTGTTCTACGAGAACAAGGACACGCGCACGTACCTGTCCATGGTGCCCACGTCGGCCCACACGGGCGACGGAATGGGCAACCTCATCGCCCTCGTCGTGGAGCTCACGCAGACTCTGCTCGCCAAGCGGGTGGCCTACTCGCCTGAGCTCTCGGCGCAAGTCATGGAGGTGAGCACCACCCACCCCTTCCCCCAGTGCTGAACTTGATGCTCAGGGCACCCCCCTTTCCCCACCCATTGTCCGTACTTGGTGGGCTAGCATCCTCAAGCAGCTCGTGAGAAACCATATGTTTACGCCTCTGACTTTGCAACGTTCTGGAATTCATGTGTTCCTCTTTTTACCAATGTGCCTGAATAATACATTTTTAGATTCATGCGTGTTACCTGTAATGGCATATGGATCACAACATTGGACGTTGACAAAGAAAATAGAACACAAAAAGCTCTGAGAGAGATGCATGTTTGGAATTGCATTAAGAAACTACACGTGTATTGTTTACTGTCTATTCTGGTGTCGCTCATTTCAGTGAGATGGGACCCAAACAAATCTATTGTAGATTCCGTACGTGTAGCTTGGCTGTCAGAAATACGTTTGCAGTTTCAATTCGAAAAGAGATAGTTTTTTGAAGTTTCAGGAGTGCCTCAGTTGATGTTATTATATAGTGTCACGTACTTTGGTCTCTTACAAATACATTCTACCTAAGAGGCAGGTGAGCCTGCCTGGTTATAAATACAGTTTATAGTGTTGATGTTAAAATTATCAATTTATTGTATGTAAACATATGACAATAGATAAGGCCGGAGACGTATTGAATAGCTTCACACAAGAATGCTGCCTGTAGACCTCTCCACACAAACACAGCTGGATTTAAACACAGAAATGTCATTAATTGACCAAGGTGGCTTTTATGTTTTATTTTATGCATTAAAATATAACACGTGGAAAAATCCCTTGAGATGGAATGTCTCGTTTGCAAGCGTGTCAATTGACGCATGCATAGTAAACCCGGAATGACACGTATATACACACACACAATAAAAATGTGACTTATAGAATAAATTTCACACTCGGTCAACCACATAAATAATTACATAAACAATAATATGGTGTGCACACCTTTCATATGGAATGTACTGTAGCTATCACAGTTACACATTTTGTACAAGTGTGTTTTAATTAAAGATTATAAATTAGTTGAGACTGGTGGCATACATTAGCGTGTCTGGGAGATCATTCCATGTGACTTATGGTCCCTTTGTTCCCCCCCCCCACTCGCTGTACAGGTGAAGTCTCTCCCTGGGTTGGGCACGACCATTGATGTGGTGCTCACCAATGGAATACTTCGCGAGGGAGAGACCATTGTGCTGGCAGGGGTGGAAGGCCCCATCGTGACGCAGATCCGGGGTTTGCTCATGCCGCAGCCACTCAAGGAACTCCGCGTCAAAGTGAGCGCCACATATCATTCGACCGATCTGATGTTGCACTCATCCTGGACAGCAGGGGGACAGCAGTGGTGATACTTGAGCCTCGCAGCAGGAAATTTATCACAATAATCTCTCTTCATAAATCGCCTTTCATATTGAAGTATCCCAAAGCACTATACATAAAAATACAATTACACTCACAAGTATAGATACAATCTAAGCGAAATAGAAATATGATAATAACAATGTCAATGACTACTCTTGAACTTACAATAAAATGAAGAACTATGATCAAAGTGAAAAATAATTGCAGAGTAATCCAATTGGACAACAATTATTTTATTTTAGTGACGAGGAAGGCCTGTACAAATAGGTGGGTTTTAACTTCCTGGGTTCGATTCCTGCCTTGGGTGCCTTTGTAGAGTTTGTACGTTCTCCCCCTTTTTTTTACAGAGGTTTCTTTATTTTGACATGCATGGATTCCTTACCAATTGCTAACATGCATTTTGTCTCCGGAAATATTTAACTGACAGTACAGTAGCCGACGGGTAGCTGTCGGGACAAAACGTGTTTTATATATTTGCAAAATAGTTATTTTGTTGCGCTGGTTTGTGTGGCTAATTTTTGGCAACGCCTTTGATTAATTTTGCTGGTTTTCAGTCGGGCAAGTCAATTAGCAACGTAACTTGATACTCCAGCTTTGTCTATATTGGATCACCTTTGAGAGTTACCCTACCTCCCTCCATATAGGCAGACAATGCATCAACGGTTTCGGCCTTCGTAGTAAAGCGGTAAAAACAGTCACATGTTATATCCTTCAAAGCTGTATCAATACACGCTGTGCAATCGTCTATGCAGAATCAATACGAGAAGTACAAGGAGGTGGTGGCGGCGCAGGGTGTGAAGATCATCGCCAAGGACCTGGAGAAGGCCCTCGCTGGGCTGCCGCTGCTGGTGGCATGTCACGACGACGAGGTCCCCGTGCTCCGGGTGCGTGTCTTCTTTGTTTGAGGCCGTGTGTGTCCTTGTCCGTGTGTGTGTGTGTGTGTCTTCGTGTTGGCACAGTAGAGTGCACAGCTGGTGCATCCGCCAGTCATCTCAGTCAGTCAACCCATGGCACTTGGGTCTGTCCAGTGACCTCCTTGTCAGCGATCCTTCAACACTTCACATGGCCTCAAAGTGCACCTGGCCTGGCACAGGCACTGTGGTGACGTCACCGCCACTCGGTGGTGAATGGCGGGTGTTGTGTTGTCGTTGTGTCTTTGTGTGGGGAGCGGTAGCGTAATGGTGAGCGTACTGCTGTACTACGAACCCAGCGACTCGAACTCGATTCCCGCGCATGGCCAACAATAGCAGTGGCAAATATTTGAACCGGTCCTCGGCCGCTCCTAGGTCGACTCAGGCTTAAATGAGTACTGGGTGCGAAGTGTTAAACAGCAGCACTGAGGAGACAAAGGCGGTTCGGTATGGTATTCGCTACCTACCTTTCCGTGATCTGTGCCAGCCCTCGTAGTTGTTTCCGATAGCAGCACATGCCCCAATAGGTTGTTATAAGAGCTTGGTAAAAGAAACGAGATGGCAGGGAATTCCAAAGTCGTGTTTTGCAAAGAAAGAAGCAGAAAGAGGAGAGTTTATAGCCTGCGGTGAGTGGGTGTGGCGAGTGGGTGAGTTTGTGTTGTAGCGACCTGCAGTGTAGCAGTTGAACATGGTGTTGTTTGCGAGACGAAACAGCCTGGCAGACCGAGTCTTCGCCGTGAGTGGAGTGAATTTGATTGGGAACACGGTAAACTGTAACAGCTGTGCGTGATGCCTCTGTCCCCTCTGCACCCAAGGACGAGATGGAGAATGAGCTGAAGCAGACGCTGAGCGCCATCAAGCTGGAGGAGCGTGGCGTGTACGTGCAGGCGTCCACGCTGGGCTCGCTGGAGGCGCTGCTGGAGTTCCTGCGCACGTCCATCATACCCGTGGGTCCCGCACGATTTCCCCCACTCGGCACGCTGCAGAAAAATATGAAACCATAGGTGCGCCGTTGTCGAGCTTGTCAACCCGGGGCCTTGATATGTTCAGAGCGAGAGTGGATAGTTCTTTTATTTAAAAAAAATATCTACTTTTGTTGTCATTCCTATATTGGGATATATTAGTTAATTTCACGGGAAGTTATCTCAAGTTGATTTGCAATTAATTAAAAGTACAAGAAATATAAAACTACAACTGGAAAGAAAGTGTAAAAGCCTTACCACCACATGCATACGGAATACCATTGCTGACGTGGAATAGCGATGTTTAGCACATTCTCACAATACACTCTAAATTGTGGTGTTTAGATTTTTTTGTATACTTAAATGTTTATTTTTTATAAACATCTTCTCTTTTTTGACAGTACTCCGGAATTAACATTGGCCCGGTTCATAAACGAGACATCATGAAAGCATCCATCATGCTGGAACATGACAGCCAGTAAGTGTGACTCCTGACACACTTGCCTGACTTGACCACCTGAATGTGAAATTGTGGTTGTTGCTCTGCATCCTACATTAGCCGTACGAAAGAAGAACACGAAGCGTGGCTCGATCCTGCAGTTCTGTGCAACTGGTATCAACTCGCATCATAGGTGATCGTTTCTGCTGTAAAGATCGAGCCGTCAATCCAACTTTGGCCAGGATTACGTAAGGGAAATATGCAACCCAAAAATAATTTAATTTTATTTAGTAGTTTGGTTGTGAAACCCTGGCTGTCTCACATGGGCTTGCAGCTTTCTTCATAAGACAAGAGACTTAAAGTTATGGTGAGGCACAAAGTTTGATTATAGCTGCTTTGACTGAATAAAATAGATGGGGTTGTCACAGAGATGTTACTCTGGTCCTATAATGGCCAACATCATAATTCAAAGTTGCCTAATTATCAAGCTACAAGATAAGAGCTATGTTCTTGGTTCCTTCGGTAAAGTCACGTAGAAGGGAAACAATAAAATAATAATAAAAAATATTGTTTTATATTTTTATTATTTTATTGTTTCCCTTCTACGTGACTTTACCGAAAGAACCAAGAATATGAATCCCTGCAGTCACGAAAGCTTTAAATCAAAAGATAAGAGCTGTTTGTTTTTTGGGTGTACCTTTCTAAGGTTATTTTAGCTTCGTGTTTGTGATTTGTTATTGACCCAGCCTTCCAGTAACGTTCACAGAAGTCTTAAATAACTTTTGGATATCAATCAAGAAAAGTTCCTCTTTGCATGCACAAATGGTTAAGGGTGGAGCAGTCGGCACACTGCACTCTGAACATGTCACCTGAGTTTGATTCCCAGCCATCGCTAACATCAGTGGTGACTGATACCTAATCCGGTCCTCGGCTGTCCGCCCCACCCCGCACCCTTCACCAACCCACACAGATTTGCGTGAGCTCTCTTTCGTATCGTGTGATGAAGTATGCTCAACCCACACGATTGACATAGCATTACGATGCTTTTATCCACTAAAATTGATTCATAAAGCTCAATAAAATGACTAATTACTGCAGCTCCCCCATAGGGTTGATGGTGTTGTTGCTGCAACGTCGATTGCTCTTGCTGCGACATCCGTTGCCGTTCCGGTTGTCATTGCCATCGTGGCCGCTGTCGGCGTGGTGCAGGTATGCCGTCATCCTGGCGTTCGACGTGAAGGTGGAACGCGAGGCCCAGGATATGGCCGAAAGCCTGGGAGTGAAGATCTTCAGCGCCGACATCATCTACCACCTCTTCGACGCTTTCACCAAGTACCGAGCCGACCTCAAGCGGCGCAAGCAGGAGGAGTTCAGGTACGGCCGAGCCCTTGGCTCGTTCAGAATATGAATATTTATTTACACTGGAGAAATCCGATGAGCTATAAAGCTTTTTTTCACAGATTTACAGTCGGGGCACGGGGTAAGAACGTTACAACAACAAACAATACAGGAAAGGGAAACAAACCACTCAAAAACATGCAAATACAATTCAACCATCCCCATCCTACCAGGCAAAGCCCACTGGAATGTTTAACAAATATTTGGTTGTTTTAGGTGCTGGGGGCAATTGTTGTTATTGGTGAATTGCTCTTGGCTAACGCAGGATGTTGAAGTTGTGCGCGTGTTTTTTTATGAGTTTCACAGGGGTGTAATGATTGTTACGATTCGGGCACACCTGAAGTCAATTACACTTGCAATTGTGTAATGAGTAAAGCATTACAATCGCAAATGTAATTGTAGTTTCAGCTTACAGTGCGACTGAAATTGTAATTATAATTGACTCTCCTAGTCTCGATTCAGTTTCCAGTTTTCATGTATTAGGTATAGCCCTGTGAGCCATGCGGCTCTTGACTCGGGTGCAACCGCAACAAACAAAAACATGAACAAGAAAAACATCTTAAAGTGGTGACGCGCAACAGAAAAATATTAATATCATTGATTGATGGTATACGTACACATGATACTATGCGTGAATTGTCAGTTTCAGAATTTGTATTTAATGAATTGTTACAGTGCCATAATTTACTGTCGTCCAGTCCTGGCTGCGGTGTCTGTTACACTAAGAACTGCATGCCATTCAATGTCCTTGTTGAACCGAGAGTGAGAGTCCACTCATCTAATAACGCCGTCTGTCTGCTCGTGTGGGGCTGCCGCAGGCACATAGCGGTGTTCCCGTGCAAGCTGCGCATCCTGCCGCAGTTCATCTTCAACAGCCGCGACCCCATCGTGTGCGGAGTCAATATAGAGGCCGGCATTCTCAAGAACGGCACCCCCATATGCGTCCCCTCCAAGGGCGTGAGTACGGCCGCTATGCAGACACGCAGCAGGAGAGGCCGGCGGAGAGTAGGACCGTGTGAAATCGCTTGCGACTCACCAGTTGAGTGGCTCGTAAAATGCTGTCGCTGCTGCTTACACAGATCCCTCTTAACGGCACGCGCGTGTGTGTGTGCTCATGCATCGCAGTTTGTGGATGTAGGAGTGGTGACGAGCCTGGAAATCAACCACAAGGCAGTTGATGTGGCTCGCAAGGGTCAGGAGGTATGCATCAAGATTGAGCCCGTGCCAGGGGAGGCGCCCAAGATGTTCGGTCGCCACTTTGAGGCCTCGGACTTCCTCGTGAGCAAGGTGAACGGCGCACGGACTGCAGACGGTTTATTCCCAGTGTGGCACGTGTCCTTGCAATAACAGTATAGATAGAATGTCAGGAGGCGGGGAACAGTGGCGCAGTGATTAGCGCACCATGCTATAAACTGAGCAATCCAAATTCGATTCCCAGCCACAGCTATTATCAGTGGCGAATGATATCTGAACCGGTCCTGCCTCTCTCCCCCCATGCTTCACCAATCCACACTTACCAGCATGCTGAGGAATGGTAACAAAAATCCTCGTGAATTACACAACATGCAGACCTCCTTCAGCTAGGAGTGGTCAAAGGGCTGTAAGTAATTGGGTAATTGAAATGCCAAATACAGTAGTGCGATTATTTTTAAGCATCGGTGAGTGTATTGTGCAATGCTTAACAAATATTTGGTTGATGTACAGTACCCTGATCGATGGCCTCTTTTCTCTTCCGCGTTGCAGATCAGCCGAGCATCCATCGACGCGCTCAAAGATTGGTTCCGGGATGAGATGTCCAAGACAGACTGGCAGCTCATTGTGGAACTCAAAAAGACCTTCGAGATCTTATGAGGACAGCGTAAGATCGAGGTGGCGTCAGCACGACACGTCAAAGAAAATCCACCCGGAAACTTTGTCTGTGTTCGTCGTCGTTGGAAGGACACGGGGGAGCGCACCCTCCCTCCCTCCCTCCCCCGGCCACGGGGATGAAGCGTGTGCCACTTGAGAGCTTTGCGCAAGGTTGCTTGGTGATGCCCGAAGGATTCGATAAAGTTGATCACATGGAGGTAGGTATTGGATTTTTAGGGCAGATTGGTCGTCTCTCCAAGGTTGCCCCCCACAGTAGTTTGCTGCATTTGTTTGCAACGTCAATCTGTTTATTGAATTTCAAAAAAATAAAAAGCAAAAGATACAAAAATTGTGCGAAAGCATTTTGGCTTGCTTTGTAACTGGGCACACCGTTGAAAAACGGGTAATTTGCATTTTTTAAAATTTAGATTTGCTGCCGATTTTATAATGAAATCCAACATTTCTCAAACTTTGTACGCAAAGTTGATGTGCGCAGCTGCTTGCGTACACGGTTAAGGGCGTGTTAGACGCTTACATGTCTGGATAACATTGTCGCCATAGCCTACGTCATCCGGTGGCAACTGCCGCCAGTGCGAGCGCCCTGTAGCGTCCGCAATACAGCGAGCCTGCGAGATTTAATTTTTCCTTCTGAACAGGCGATTCCATCAAGCGGATTGCATGTGTGCGGGAATGTCCTCTGCTCCAGTGTTTCCTGCCGTGCACTGTGGGGAGAAAGGAATTCTGATGCTGTGGTGGACTTTGCCTTTATCCTTCACGGGAGATTTCCGAAAGATGCTGCTGTCTGACCTGCTGTAAAGTAAAACGCGTTGGCGGTGTCCCTGAGGCACCACCGCCTGTTATTGTTTCCTGGTAAGACAGCGCCATCGTCCTGCCTGGAGCAGTCACCGCCAGCAGAAGTCCATGCACATTCTACCACGAAGATGAGCTTCAGCGACAATGCACCTTGGAACTATGCATTACGCTGCAGTTTCCAAAACATCGCTTCATTTGGCCCGTGCTTTCTACATTTCCACATTTATCGATCTTCTCCATTGAAATACAAACGAAGTCGGCGCATGCACTATGATTGGCAAACGCATCCCACACGATGTAGAGTAACGGGTTCAAATTTAAATAATTATTTACAGCCACTCTTAATCCACTACACGAATGTATAAAGCCTTTACATGCCATATCGGTCATCGGAGGGGGGTGGCAGGACCCGTTCGAATATCGCTCGCTACTTAGAAATGGCAGAGAATCGAATTTATGTGATCGGGTTTGTAGTGTAATGCACTAAATGGAGTAATGCAAACGCCTCCGCCCACCCCCAATCTTACTTGAAAACTGCCCCCCTCTAAATCTTAACACGAGATCACACCTGCGTAAATTATATGCAGTTGAATTTGAATTGGTGCTCACTTTCATCACGTGAGATACGTCTACGAAATCATCGGACACGTTGCAGTATCTGAGGAATTTTGTATTTGAATGGAGAAAATTGGTGTAAGGTGGAGAGACTGATTGGTGGGTCACGGAGATCGGAGTTCGGAACACCGTGTATAATGCCATTGTCAGGTGGCATTCTTCTTAACCTTTGGGCTTGAAAGTAACAGATCTGGGTTCTGCTCAGTCCTTGGATTTCCATTCCTTTTTGCCAAAAGAAAATACATTCTTAAATAAAAGATCGTGCTTATGTATTTGCCATCTTGGTAACTTTCTGCTTTTTAAGGAAGTGGGTCAGACTTGTCCAGATTTAAACAAGTGGAAGTCGCAAGAATGGTATTTAAACCACCACTGCTGAAAATTACACCAGAATCCCACACGAAGCTCAGTGACCAATCGAAAAATACCCACCCATGGCTAGCCCGAACAATGTATCTTGCAGCAGACGGCTGTCAACTGGTGTCAGGAGATGATAGCTCATTTCCAACGGCTGAATTGCACGTTGTGAAATCACGAGTTTTAATAAAGGGGAGTACAAACTGAATTATAGATACTGGGAGGACAGCTTTTGGCAGGGAGCCTGAAACAAAACCGAGGACGTGTTTCAGTGCTGACCATAAACTCGTGTGCAACACAATCGCTCACCATTTGCCTGGTGAGGCCAAAAAACATTAAAGAGGTATTCTGCTTAAATATGCTTGGGACACTGATCATCTCTTAAGGGTTCTCAACCATCCTTGGAAATTCTGTATTCCCCCAGTGGGAGTGAGTTTATTGGTAGGACAACCACTGGATAACGTGGGTTGCTTTGTGTAAGTGAAAAACACGGATCTTCAAAACGGTGGAGTACGTTTCTGCTGTGTACAAGAATTAACCAGCAGGATTACAAGGTTCAGTACAAAAATATTTTAATTCTATGGCAGTGCAAAAAAAAAACACCGAGATGTCGCAAACAATGAAAGTGCTGAATGTCCGTTTGTGGTGGTAATACTGTGGAAAATACACTGTTGCAGGCACTTTAATTATTCAGCAACATAGCACACCGATAGTCTCGTTCATTTATATATAGTGTGTGTACTTGTAAACCTGCAGAGAGCTTTGTCCATTTTTTATTGGCTTTAACGTGACACGCTAGACAAGAGCTGAATAACCTTTTTCATTGATGGAACAGTTTTAAGTACTTAAGACTGGGATTAAATTGAGAACCATTACTTCGACCCTGGTTTTTTTTGTAGTTTAAAATGAAGCGCTTAGTCTTGATTACATTTGTACCAAATGTTAGCCTTTCGGCCCTTCGAGAACATGATTAGAATTTATATTAAGCAATTACCATAAACTAAATGCATTGGATGTGTCTATACATCACTCTTGCAACAAGCAGACTGTTTCATAAAGGAGTGGATCAATAATGAGTTGTACATTTAATGCGTACTCTCCGAACAAAGCCAAAGTGAATACCATCATTAGCCAAGGTCTATCCACGGTTGGATGAAGGCTTTCAAAAGCCACCACCACCTCTCGATGCGAACGTAACAAGTTCTAGTGGCAGTCATTGCGGCGTCTACCCCGCAGTGACCTCGTGTACACCACCAAGAGCCTGCGCAATGCTCCGCTGGCGGACAGATACATTTAAAATATTAACAGAGGGCTTCAAATTGTTATTTATTTACTTGCTATACTGCAAACATGGTAAGAGTCTTGATGAGCCATTGTTAGCCGTGTCGTGCGTAATGTGTTGAGCTTAGAAATGAGTCGGTGTTGAGTGGTGTTTTGTGTTGGAGTGGCCACGTGTTGTTCATTTGGAGGTAGCTCACGTTGCCCATAGTGCCGCTTCACGCGCACGGCTGGAAAAGTGTCGTGCGTCACAGCTTGAGAGTGCTGCCATACGTGCGTTTCAGCAAGGCCTGGACGCTCTCGAGGATGAACTCGAACGTGGTGTGCCACGCGGCATCGCGAGCACCTCCCGTGAGCCTAATGGGAGAGCGGGGACCACGGTGGGATGAGAATAAACATGGGAATGGGGTTGAATCGAGTAGGACCACAGAGGAAAACACAGGGCAATGTTGTTAGCAGAAATAATTGCAGAGGAAATACCAACAAAGTCACAGCTCCATTTATAAACATGGACTTTTTTGTTACTGTAAATCCCCACATCATTGCATGGAACTGCCAGTGGTCGTTGTACAAAAACGCATCATTTTGGGAAGACCTAGGCAGTGGCAGAGCAGTCCAGCTTGCCCAACAGTGAACGAGTCTTCCCGCATGTCTCCACCGTGACCGAGTGTCCCACCGTACCCAGATATGACCCACCGCACCCAGATATGACCCACCGCGCCCCCACGTTCCACTGTGTCACTCCCAAACTTGTCCCCCACCGTTTGATGTAGCGGACGACCAGGTAGAGCGACTCCAGGTCGCGCTGGTGCAGCAGCTGCTGGAGGTAGTTTGTCACCTGCACAGCGTCTTCCTGCTCCGGCGGGGCTGGGGGGGTGCCGTGAGATGACGCACGGGGATGGGCGCGGGGTCACACCACAGGTCACGATTCACAATTCCAGGTCCGCACCAAGTCCAGGTCAGGGAAGAATGGACCGCACTTTTCTGTACAATATTGAATTTGGAGCGTGGTTTTGTTAAATATGAAGTGGAAATATGAAATTCTTAATCTGATTGCCATGTGTCCTGGTTTTCCCAGGATGTCTTCTTATTGAGGTAAGATTTCCTGGTAAATCTTAAGTTTTCCCCCATGACATTAAAATTAGTGTTTTTTTCATTCGTGTAAATGCTTGAGCAATACATCCACGTGCAGTTCTCCCCTCTTCCGATATTGTGAGATCACTGATTCATGCCCCACAAAATGGCCATTCTTGGCAAGGAACGTACTGCATGGGTTTCCAAACTTAAGGCGTGGGTTTCCAGGAGCTCAGATCTGTTGTTGTTGCAGAGTAATCTCGCAACATTCAAATCGGCGAGACGTTTCGCTGGAGATTACATCCAGCATCATCAGGTTGTTAACAGGAGCTTATATCTCGAGTGAGAGTAAGATCTGAACTGATGCTGGATGTATGCTTCAAAGTAACATCTTGTCCATTGAGATATTGTGAGATTACTCTCCAACAAAAACAACGATGGTGCTGCCGAAGCAGTAATACATTTGGCACGTTTGATTTACGTGACACTTTTATAAATTGCCTTTCGGATGGAGGGTTTAAGACTTAAGATTTTTACGTAGCCTAAGCCCAAAAAAAACCGTATCAGTTTCCAAACATTTTAAACTTCTGATGCGCTCACCTTCAGAGCTATGCACCCAGTCCCTGAGCAAGGCCTTGACTTCGTGCAGTTCTGTGAAGCTGGCCAGGCTGGCTCGCGGGGGCCCCGCGAGGGACCCCGCGAGGGGCCCTGCGAGGGACGCATCTCCCCGTGGCTCCACGTGAACGCCCTGGGCTCCAGGCTGCTGCACACAGCAGCAACAATAATCATCACAACTTAAGCTTGTATAGCACACGTTTGACAACATCCTAAAGTAATTTACACTAAAAGATGACTGACCTCGAAGACTACAATGTTAATATTGTTGGAAGTTTTTTTTTAAGAGGGGAAAATATGCATTTAACAGGGTTAAATATCAATAAACATAACATGTGAGATTTTTGATGCACATTAAAAGCACAGAATGATTCCCTGCTTAGATTGAGAAGTGAGTTCCATAGTTGACGGTCCGTAAAAGAGCGCTCTACATCCCCAAAATTTTACTTTGAACTCTTGACGGACGTTCAGCAGAGTCCAGCGTCCACTGAGGGCGCCGCCTTCAACAGGGACCGGCACTCGAGAGATTGTGAATGAAAATACGAACGGTGCATTATTTAGACTGGAGGAATCCGATGAGCTGTAAAGCTCTTGGGATAGCGTAGCAAACGGCAGTGGCGTCTGTACCTCGCCAGTTACTCTGAGCGCTTTCTCTTCCGCGGTTCTGGGAGCCGCTTCAGGCTCGAGAGAGCCGGTCTTCAAACCAGTATCCAGGTGGACAGATACCGGCCACTTTCCCGGGCTGCCTCGGCCTCTCTTGCCCGGGCTGCCTCGGCCTCCTCTCCTTGCCAGGCTGCCATGCGGCTGCTTGCCGGGTCGTCCTCGGCGACCTCTGCCTCCTCCCCTGCCACGCCCCGGCTGCACGGCTCTCTTATCGCCTGGTGGAGGTCAACGGGAGGTCAACGGACAAGGGAGTGCGTTCGTTGCTTGCAGGAAACGTTACGTTCGATCCGGGCCATTAATCATATTCGATTCATACAATTGCATCCCGGGTGATTCCTGCAGGAATCGCGATTCTTCTGTGGGTGATTTGCCATGCTGAAATATTGGGTGAGTTTTAATGTGATCCTAACAGGTGTAAAGAAGCTCCTTGGAAGTAAACCTTTATTTCTGACTTAACGTATTTAGAGTGTAACAAACACCACGCTCTTGATAAATACGGCTGCCTTCAGCCCCGATGGTTTCCACCAAGTTGGTTCTCGAACAGTCGGCCCCCAATGTCGTCCACATCTGGTCGTCGATTAGTCCCTGAGCAAGTGCCCCAACCGTCGTTGACGCTCCCTCTTTACATCTCTCTCCCCGCCCTTAATGAACTACCACTTGCCGTCAGTCCCTTCCTCTCCGAATGTTAGCCATCCGGCCACCTGTGTAATAACGTGTATTTTTATTCTTGGTGCTTTCGGTAAAGTCACGTAGAAAGAACCAAGAATATGAATCCCTGCAGTCACGAAAGCTTTAAATCAAAATTTAACGTGTATTTGATTAAATCCCTGTGTAGTTCCCTACACAGAGATTCTGAGATGGACAATGCGTGTACTAGAATGTGTGACACATGTGCGATGCGCTACGTGGTGTGACACAACACGGCATGGCGTGGTATGCCTTGGCTCAGTGGTGTTACATAACCATGGCGTTGCGGGGCATAACGTTGCACGCCCTGTCGTATGGCGAGCTACGTCTCGTGGCGAGCCGCGTGGCGTGCCACGGTAGATGGGGCCCGTGCTGTACGTACTGGGGCCTGCGGTGGCACCAGGGCCTGAGTTTCCTGCTGTGCGCCGGCCCTGTTGGGCAAAGGCGTCTCTCAGCTCCTGCTGCAGCTCCTCGGGCAAGGCCGCAAACACTGTTGGGTCGACCTGTTGGACGCAGCAAGCATTATGATTCAAGCAAACTCGTGGGAAGTCCATTCAAATACAACGGCTCCACCCACACACTCATCCCCAATGAAAAGCCTATCCCTT